AAAAGTCTTGCGAGAGCATCTGAATTTCGGTCTGTCTGATTTTCATATATCTGATTGGCTAATTTGAGGTTCACAATTTTTAGTGTCAGGTTTTATCCCATCTTTCAAATAGCCAGCGGACGAATAAAAAATCGGCCAGAACGAGTGATGTTGGTGACGGGGCCATGCATTGAGCCTGTCCCAGTCATGCCAGCGCTACCTTCCCATATTATCTTGAGGTTGCTGCAAGCACGGCGAAAGTTTTCATTCACGCACACCATTCGAACTGTAGATGATTGTAATCAATCTCTATCAAAATGAATACAAAACTGGAATGATTGATTAATTCTTACCCAGAAGGAGCTGAGCCGCTGCTCTGTTGCTATAGAGTATGGCGTTTAGTTTGACATCTTTGCAGTTCACTTGCAGTCCCTCCGAGTAAAAGTGTACAGCATTGTTGGTTTCTCCTTTGCTGTACTCGTTGTCACCTTCTTTCAAGTACACCTCCGCCATCGCTAACAGAAAGAAGAAAACATGCATGATACAGAATATAACTCAATAGTGATGCACAAAATAGCAGCCAGACATATACAGATGCGTAAAATATCCAGGAGAGCAGCAGTTTGAACCGGCTGTCAAACGTTAAAGTCATTTTGTTGACTTGCAAAATTTGTCTGCATTTTTCCTGTTCCATGATCACTAAGCGGTACAGGTCACATTGTGTGCCTCTCTTAAAAGGATTGTGTAACCCTAATTGACTCGATGACCATACCTTATTGAATAGGTTGTGTTTATTTTAATTGTTATTATTACCTTTTAAGGTTGCATCATCAAATTGCGATGTACCATCTGACGGTAAAACGGCCGGAACGTCTATAACGAGAGAAAAATAATCAGACAAGTATATAGGGGACAAGGATCTTTCTGATCTCTCTGTTGACCTCCAAGCATTGTGGCGTGATAGTTCAGCCACTGAACAGTTTCAAACCTAAATTGTACCATACCAGTAAAGTTAAGAAACAACGTGAATCGAAGTATTTGGGAAAATAGTCAAACTCCATCTCCAGTGCTTGATATATGTTACCCATCGAAACTAAAATTAAGATGTAGAAGCGGCGAAATAAGGTTTTAAAAAAGTACGCCGTGTAAAGAAGATTCCTGCCATACATAAGATATGATACATAAGATACACGCCACGGTACCGGCATGCCTTGTGATTAAACAATTAAACACTGATTAATGAGTTTAACGGAGAGATATATGTTGATCTTATCGACAAAATCAACAAAAAACGTCAGGTGCTGGACTCCATCGAGGCGGAGGTCAGAGGAAGAACGATAGAGACCTTAAGATGGACAACGGAAAAGTAGATGAAGAGGAACTGATTTACCTGGAGAGAGGTTCTGAGGACAAAGCGAAGAAAAGACTGTTCTGGTGGTCCTTTTTCATAAGGTTAGATACCCGAAGGCACGAAAAGGACAACAATTTTTCTGAGTTTTTTTTTGTTTTATTTTTATTTTCCTTACGAGATCACATTTAATATTCCATACAGTCTGAGAAATACGCTATCCTAAAGGTTGGGTTAGGTCAAGCAGTCGATAACTTCATACTCCCATATTTTTTTCTTAGTATAAGAGTTTTGGCGTGGAACTGAGTTTCCTTTCAATTCAAAAATTGGCATCTGAAACATGGAAATGAATCACACCATAAATTCATGTTGTGACTATAACTTGCATGTAAGACTACTTTACTCACCTGCCTGAATATCATCAGCTAAATTCACTTTTAAGTCACCAGATCTGACTTGACGTTCCTCTGCAGCTGGAAAACACAACATCACGTTCATGGTGAAACCATTACCCTTAAAAAACAAGACCTTTCACAAGTGGTTTTACTTTTATTTTTCATCATGCTTGAGCGAATCTGTAAAATAATGTGTTTTGCTAATCACCCTGGAAATGATAATCATGTGACATTTTCCGTGACAGAAAGTTAGTTGTAATTAAGGTTTTTTTTTCTTACCGTCTGTAGATTTCCCATCATCAACGCTGACCTTACCATCTTCCGCCATCACTGCAAAAGAACCAAATACTCTAAAACTTCATGATATCAATTTTGAGATCAATCTCACCGGCTTTGGTTGTATTAAACTGAAATCGAAAAGGAAGGGCTTTCAACATTTATACCTGCTTAGATTTGCAGGCATGCCTCAGTCCACAACCAAGCCTCAGCCATGTATAATTCCTAACTAATTTAAGTATTAGCCCTTTTAGCCCAAAATTCAACATAACCATTTCTTCGTTCACCCGTCATTAGTTGATTTTTCGTAATAACTTTTCTGATAATGATATAAATGGGCGAAAACAATCAAGACAGTTGAGTATTCCACAATTGTTTCTTGAAGAAAGTTCAAGGCTTTGACGGAAAATGAAATTCCCAGATAGTACGAAATCGAGGGCTTCATTCGGAGAATTAGAGCTATTATAGCACGATTGGTAACATTGATTTTGAGCCACAACCAACCTGTGTTATTCAGAGTAAACAGAGCGACCTTGGCGCACAAGCGTTAGATAAGTCACATGACCTGTCAACCTAAAGGAAAAAACACGCTATTTCAGCCCTTAACAGCAAAATCAATCAGCCACAATCAGACCAAAGGTTGACAAATATGATTGTAAGAGCACAAGATTCAATATTTTTGAAACAGCAAAACATTGTAAAGGGGTCAGCAACAGTTTAAAGAGCTGACGATATCAGTCACAGTGTTCGAAATGAGAACAGTTTGAGGAAAGTGCCTGTTTATAACCTAGGGAAGAGTTTTTACGGTTCCCCTGGATAACGGCTACGCTATGCGTGCGTGTGCGCCTATTGGTACCGAGAGTCTGTAAAGGTAACTTCGGTTACAGATTTAAGCTCTGAACTGGGAAAGGCAGATAACCTTTCAACCGGAAAAGGGAAAAGATCACAAGATTCGCTTTCTGACAAAGCCTTAATAGAACTTACCCCTAAGTCAACAGCCAATTCACTTAATTTGACACCATCTCCCATAGCCCGGATATAATTATAGTGCAAAAGAATACATAATGCAAAAAACAGCTGACAAAACCTTGTGCCAACTTAACACATGTTACTGGAATCACTTAAAGGTAAATGCGTAGACAGCTGTATTTTAACAACGTTTAAAGATCATCTGAGTTCGAATGTAGTAAACACCTCTGCTACTGTCGGAGACCTTGTGTTTCGTGCGTGACACATATCAGATAATAAGTGTAAACATTATATCAAGAGAGACAATTTTTAAGTTAAAGAGACTGTCATTTGTTATCAAGAGCTAGAAGCACCGCCTTTTGTGATTTTGCATAATCGACGCAACCTTGAATAACCTTTTATATCAGTACTTAGCAACAACCAATCACAATGTAGAGAATGTAGTAAAGAGAGTGATTTCGTTACAAGTTATTCAGAGTAGCTCTTTACACACCCGTTGTAACTGAGTGAATAGGAGAGTGCAATTAAACAGTTGAGCTTAATCGAGTCTATGGATTGATTCTAGTTCGTTAGGATTCTATCCCTAGTAAACGGGGCAAAGTTTACGAAACTACAACCAGATTCTCGCCTTTTATTGAACCATGTAGTAATCAAAACTGTTCCTATAACAGCCTAACAGAAGGGAATATGATTTGTCCACGATGGAACTTCCCTTAAAAAGACCCAGTTTCAATCACTACTATAGTGGACCTTCTCAAACGCGCCGGAAGTTTTTTAAACATCTCAAGCGTAACAGGGAAATTTCCCCGAAAGTGGGGAAAAAGGGGTTCCCCTCCGTTAGAAACTGAAACCGGAACTCATGACGTCACCCATTCCTTCACAAAACTCGAACATTCAGATCTTTTTCTGAACATAAATGTAAAATGTAGACGCAGTTTTTAGTTTTGTCCCATGGACTAGCTTGGAGTTATTTCTGCGATATTAGCAAGGAAAAATTTACAACTTGGTTTCGCTGACAGGCAATCATCGACAGTGTGTCATTACTGGCAGTTTTCCATCAGTTCTACCCAAATCAAGAATCTAATTGTCAGTTTTGATGAACTGACAATTAGCATTTAGATCTGTTTATTCTTGTGTTAGATCCATGGTAATCCGTGAAATATCCGCAGACGATTTTTCCAACGATTTACGTAGGTAAAAGTGCAATGAACACGATGTTTGATGTGTTAGGACTGATGACAAGAGATGTAACTACATTTGTAAAGCAAAATGTATCCTGACCGTGATACAGTTATGAATGCGATCGATGTCCCCGACTCTTCACCGAATAATTAATATTCTATGTAAACATACTCTGGTAAAAAAAATTAAAGGCCGCCCCAACATTGCAAGCTGACAGAATTCCGCTATTTTTAGGGGTCTTCATTGAAAGAAGGGTTTTGTCAAACGAGGTAATATTAATTTTAACTTGGCGGACATCTATAACTGCAACTACGCGTATGTCGCTGAGTTTTCAGGAGGGTGAGTTCAACCACAATTACTAGTCCTACTACAGCCAAACTCTTACCGCGGGGTTCCCGAGTTCTTTTTTAGTAACCTACTGGAGGACTCTGGAAATATCTAACGGCAACTATAGACTTGCCTAAAGATACCTACGTTTGTGTCGCCGAGCCATCAGGACGGCAAAATTATTTAATCACATATACAACAACCAAAATCTTACCTCCGTACTTCCGACCTTCTTTTTTAAGTTTTCTTACCAGCCTTAACAAAGAGTCAAGGAGAAAAGCTGATATAATAAACCGACAGCAACAGCTCCGTTTGCAAGACTATGCAAATATACAACTGGAACTCGCTCAGACGCACGAGAGTTTTGACCTCTCAAGTGAGGGGGTTCCCCTAATTTTAGCGGAACTGCTTAGGTCACGTAACCTAATAATTGTTACGAAAATATTCCGGCAAATTGGATGTCCTAATAAGTTTACTCCCATTTTGCGTCGAATGAAAACGTTGTATTTGGCAAAGGTAGTTTCACATACAGGCACAAACAGGAAGGCGCTGGTTCATGATTGTCAGTAACTGATTGATGCTGCCCTCGGGAGTTAAATTTCATCTCCCCTATTGAAAAGACTGAAAACAATCTTTTAAATGGAAAAACATTTACATTGACAGAGCATAATCATATCTGGGATTTATCTCAAAGAATATCTTTCCCAGCTTTATTTTGGTCTCGTGTTCCTTTGTCAGTTTAGTTTGGTGTTTTAAAGATTCACAACGATTGAAACGAGGTCAGCCATTTTGTTTTTGTGAGATAAACCTTGGACCGATTTTTCTAGTCTTTAAAAGCAACCTTTTTACCATTAAAAATCGTCAAATCCTCACTTCTAGTCACCTACAAAACATGCACGAGTTACAAATAATTTTGGGAGTCACTAAATGAAAGCCAAAGTAGAGGACAGACACAGCGGAAATCATCAGCTACCATTTGCTGTCTTTTCATGTAAAGCTCAAATAGATCATGAGTTTATAACTTCACCTGGAGTTAACTTCTCCAGACCGCGTGAGTTATTCCAAATATCTTCAGCTGACTGACGTTAGACACAGTAAACCGTAGAATATGGACAAACAATCAAACTAACCATTTATGATGAGGAAATTTGGATGTAGTTTACAGCGTTACGACTGCTGACATGGAATATAACTACATTTAAATAAGAACTTTACTCTGTAAAGTGATAACCTATCGTCTGTATAACCATGGACATGTTAACTCAGTTTTCTTTGCAGTAAATTCATCGACCAGATTTATGCCCGTTTAAATTCAATGTGGCATTGTGGATCTGAGTAAACCTAACGAAGCCAATTTCACATCTCCGCCGTCTGCGAATTTTGACAGGCTCTTCGCCGACAAATAAAACATTCTGAGTCAGGAGCTCCTGTCTGAGTAAAATTACATTGCTAAAGAAAGTTAAAAGCCGCGCTGATATTGTAAGCTGACAAAATTCACCTGCTTTTGAGTTCATTCAAAGAAGGATTTTGCTAAACAAGAAAATTTATTTACATTAGCGGACATCTGTAATTGTACCTACGTTTGTGTCGCTGAGTTATCGGGAGGGCGAGATTATTCTCATATACCACAACTAAAATCTCACCTTGGCGTTTCCGACTTCTATCTAGTTTTCTTCTCTAGCCTTTATCGGCAGCATGAATTTGGAAATATCCCACGACAGCTATCGAAATATACTAGCCCAAACAGAGGGGCGTTTCAACCTTTTAAAAAAACGTCAAAAGGGAAATTTCTCAATATTTTAGGGGGCTCCCCTACTTAGCTTTTAGGGACTGAAAGCGGAAATCTTCGTCACAAAGCGTAACGCTATTTTATAAAATAATTAAAATAGTACGCGCGCTCTGATTGGCCATAAAACCATTTTACATGAGCGTATGTAAACACGGTTTTCGTTCCTCTTTCATTAGTTATTTTATAAAAAAAATGTAAAATGGTTTTCGTGTTTACATAGCCTGATGTAAACACTTGGGAGGTTGGGAGAACACTCGATAAGCTGGAAACCACTCCGCTTCGCGTCGTGGTTTCCTACGCTTATCTCGTGTTCTCCCAACCTCCCAAGTGTTTACATCAGGCTATGTAAACACGGAAACCATTCTACATTTCTTCAATTAAGCTCACTCCATTTTGCCCGCAAATGTATATTGTGAAAAGATGTTTTAATTTTACTGTATGGTTTGCTTTATTGATATCAGGTATGCACGTAACTAAACATAAATACAAATTGACTGATTGTTGGAGTTTCAAAAATGAAGTCGAACGCTTAAAATTGAAATCAGGACTAGAGCGGAAATCTTGACGTCAATTTTATGCATTGTTGTAATAAGGGGGGGAGGTCAGGGGTAGAGGTCGGGGGAAATCCCGGATAAAATTTTGGGAGGGGGAGAAACGGAGGGGGGATCAGTCGTCGATAACAGAGTATAAAGGGAAGATTGTACAAAACTGGTTGCAAAATGAGGGGGGTCATTAGAATACTACAGAGCCTTGGAGGGGGTTAGGTAGATTTTATCGTGACACAACCAAAATCCTTCAAAATCCTTCTTCCTCAGCTCTATGTTTCGTCTGTATTCGCCTAAAAAATGCGGTAAATATATTAAAAATAAGTTAGTTACATTGAAATATAGTACACATTTGAGAAATTTAAGCTTCAAGCTCGCTGATTTTCTTCCCTTAAACTATACTCAAAATTTATGAATAGGAGAAAGGTGAGGTACATAATCTATTGTTACAGACCTTAACTCCCTGAAAACATCATAGCCTGGATAAGCATTTTGTCTTTCCAATTAAAAATTACATAGAGAGGGATTTCTATCATGCATAAAAATGGAGAGCAAATAATCTGATTGTTTAAGTTTATCTACTGTTCAATCAAAATACAAACAAGAAGGGCTCATGTTTGTGTCAGTTATTTTGTTTATCACAGAATAGATACTGTAGCAAGTAGCATAACTAGTCAGATTACAGCTGCATTTATGGTAGAATACTGATTCTGCTTACATCCTGTACCTATTTGGCTAATATGCAGTTGAAACTCTTTATTTATCTGTGAATGTCTATTTAAGCTGGGTACTCTGTGGAGTCTTCTTACAGCTGGCTGTAACTTAGCAACAAGCATTTCTCCCATGTTAATAGCATTTCTTACTTCAAACTTTGGTTGGTCAGCAGCACTCATTACTCCTGGAGTCAGTACTGCCGCAATGTCTGTTTTAGCTTACTACCTTATTTGTGATTCTCCATTAGAAATAGGACTGGAGGAATTTACCGAAAGAACTACTATGAAATCAATAACTGAAAACAAAACAGTAGAGGACAAGAAGGACTTCATTATTACAATGCTTCACAGTCCATTTTTGTGGGTTTTAAGTGCAGGATATCTACTGACTTTGTTTGTGAAGATTGGAGTTGGTGAATGGACACAACTTTTTCTAATACAGACAATTGGAAGAACACAATATGATAGTGAGTATAAACTGTTCTACATGTTTTAGATTGAATCACCAATTTTTTAAATAACTCTTTAACCTCTAAGAATGACTAATTTCTCCTTACAGTATCATCCATGAATCAAATGAAAAGGTCGTAAGAATAATGGAAATGATGTCCAATTTGGGAAGCTCTTGATTGTCAACCAAATTCTCCTTGTCATTACCAGATGAAATGTAAAGAGAACAATGAGAAGATTTGAATGTTAACAATAAGGGTTAATAATGTGGTCAAAATTGTGAGAAATTCATGAAATTTTTTTGCAATAAATCAGTCACATTTATGATAGTGATGTGACATTTTCATATTATTTTAAACTGAGTAAGAACTCAAAGAGATGAAAGAAAGCCAAACAAGGGTATACTAAACAATATGTTTCTATATATTATGATATAAATTTATATTATAATTAGTATATCATACAGTGGTCTTGCTTATTTTTGGTCACAAAAGGTGAGATAAATTTTTCAATTGACTAAGCAAACCTTTTTGCTGTTGTTGTTTAATTTTCTAGACTTCCAATTTCCAACTGATTTTAGCCTGTAATAACAGGTACATGTACAACAGGCAGTGAATTTCACTGTGTATCACCTGAAAAGGAGAACACTGTCACATAACACTATTTGTTTTTACACTTTGATTTTTAATGTTTGTGTTTTCTTATCCCCAGGTAGTGTTGCTATGAGTTTTTTAGAGATACCCTTGCGAACTGAATTCCCAGTTTTCTGGGAATTCCTAGAAATTCTCAAAAATTCTCAACTATGCAAATTAACTCTGATTTAAAAAGCTTGGAATTACTGGGAATTTCTGGGAAAGGAAGACTCCAGTTTTGTGAGGACTTGGAATTCCTAGGAATTCCTAGGAATTCTCAGCTATACAAACTACCTATAATTTAAGAAGGGTGGAATTCTTGGGAATTTCTGGGAATTGAATTTGAGGCAATTTAAATACCCTGAGGTCCACATAAATTCTAAAAAATTCTCAATACCTTGAATGTGAAGGTTTTAAGAAAAGGAGTAATTTCAGAGGCTTAAAACTTTGGCTCAATAAAAGGTATGTTGTACAAAACTTACCAAGAGATATACATACATGTATATGTTTATAACTTAAAGATCATGAAACTTATTAATCAAACTAAGTTTTAGTAAATCTCTAAATTAATATAGATTTTCTCATGAACCAGCAGTCAATTATGTTAAATGGAAATTGCCAATTAATCCAATGTACTCATATCACAGATTTGCTTTCTAATCTCAAAGGACTCTTGGATTCCATGATCATAAAATATTTTTATTGTGATGCAAATTAATGTTTCATGTTCACTGCTGTGCCAAAATCATCAAACATTCATTAGCTGTTCCTTGGTACACAACTTCCACAATAATTAACATTAATTACATTGTTATCTACACTTAAAAAACTTTATTAGTTATGAACATAAGTTACTTCCCTACATTACTAACTAAGTTACTAACCTACATTACTGGTTGCCTTTGTTAGAAAACCTTGGAACAGTCAAGCTCAGTTGCCTCAAACACTGTCAGAGACTTCATTATTTTTAGTAGAAATTTCATGCCTTAGACAAACAAATTCAACACCTAATTAATCTTTCTTTTTTCATGATTGTTGTTGCTGGTTTTTTTTTTAAGTTTTGTGCTCTGTTTTGTAATTGCTGTAATTCGTTTTGCTGTTTTTATTCTTGCAAAACATTTTGTAAGAGTTCCAATACTTGTGGATCATCCACACCCTTTGCAAACATTTGGCATGCAGACAAGACAGAGGTAGTCAATGTTCCCTTTGAGAAAAAACACCTTTTAAATGACGTCTTCAATTTACTTTATTTGAAACTCTGATCTGAAAATATTTGTCAACAAGACTTGTTAGTAGTGAGAAGTACAAACCAAGTTTCCCTTCATAACTTAATTTCTTAAATGTCTCAATCACTGGATCTCCCCAAAAATATCACATCTTTTCATTTTTAGAAGAACTTTATTAGTTATGAACATAAGTCATTTATGGTTAACGAGGTAGAACAAGGCTAACTTAGGGTAAATGTGGGTTAACGTGGTAGAACATGGTTAACTTAGGGTAGATGTGGGTGAACGTGGTAGGACATGGCTAACTTAGGGTAGATGCGGGTTAACGTGGTAGAACATGGTTAGCTTGTGGGTTAACGTGGTAGAACATGGCTAACCTAGGGTAGATGTGGGTTAACGTGGTATAACATGGCTAACTAGGACATATTGTAAGTTTTACATGAAGGTTAACCATATATATTGTCAGCCATTTTGTCGTCTATATGGTATTCAGCCATGGCGTATATACCTAAAAAGCCTTCGACGTACGTCCTTCGGCGTAGCATCACTTACGGTGTTTTCAACTGCGTCTTACATTGAGCTCACCCTACGCATACCACTCTGTGCATTCTTTCCGTTGGCGAATTTTCCATTTAACGACCACAAACGGGGTCGATTAACGCTGCTCTTGCATTGCTGTACCTAGAACCATTCGTGAAACGGTTCGTAAACATGGCTTCTGAGGACGCTTCAGAGTGGACGGTGGCTGCGAAGCTGGGCGAAGTTCTTGCTTCTGATAGGTTTGATAAAGATTCTATCTCACAGGGAGAGTTAGGGTTATCACAAGCGTTTTGCTTGTTGTGGCAAAATCAAAACACAGGAGATGTTGCCGGAAGGCTAAGACCGAATGTCATGACAACTATGGCAACTGCCGCTGTTTTGCTAGATTTGTATGTGTTGGATAAAATTGACTTCAACAAAGACATCAAACATTGGATGGACAGGACGAGAGAAGTTATCACGGTGAAAGTAGGTATTTTTATGCACGCTGGTAATCATTTGCTCGGTTAACCTTGTGTCTGTTGAGCTATTCAGTAACAACAGTTCTTTTTTATCTCATGGTATAACGTCAGTTATACTATGAGGTTTTGGTTTGTCCAATACGTTTTACTTGGACGTAAATTCACTCTCTTACTTCATTATCTGATCAGTTGGACAATTTAGTCATGCAATGAAAATTGGATCAAACGTAATTATGTTAACGCAAAGTAATTCTGTTGTCTTCTGTTTGGATGTCTAGGGGTTAGGACAAATGCAGGGCTATCACAAGAGCTACAGCAGAAAAATACTGTCTTAGCTCGAATCAACTTTAAGATTTGAGAATGAAATACTCTCTAGTGTTAGCTGGTGCATAAGGGGTCATTAATTTATTTTATTGAGTGAAGTGGGGAGCTGTAATTTTTGTCATGTGTTGGAAAACATTGAGAAGTACAGTTTACACTGGCCTTTAAGTGAAATAGTACCACTCTATGGAGCAATCAGCTGCAAATTAGTATATTAAATAGTCCACTTTTCACGTACCATTCTTTATAGAATTGGTATCCAATAACTACCACTGGTAATCTAACTCTGGTTACAGGTTAAAGATACCACTTTAACTGGGACATACTTAGACCAGGCTTTATTTCTGGACATTGTAAAGTATCATCAGGCTGCCAAGGGAAAACCAAGAACAATTGTGGAATGGATAATCCATGGATCCTATGAGAGAGAAAATTCTGCTACAATAGTCTTGGACAGTTTAGTGTTACATGGCATCCTAAAAAGAGAGTCAAAACTATTTGGAAGGAGATATCCCATTGTTGATGCAAGTATGCCTATACATTTTACAGTATGTGTCATGTTCAGATTCCTTCAAAGACACTTCTTGAAAATGATGTGATGAATTGGGATGTGAAGTGGGGCAATGATAGGCAGCCCTTTTATCATGTATGGGAAATGAAACATTTAGCTCCTTTTTACTCAGAAAATGGCTGAAAGTATTTCCTTTTATAGTATTTCCTTCCAAGAAGAAGAGGTGCTGATTAGAAGGGGTCTTTTGTTCTGTAAGGGAAGTCAGTGTGCTAATCCAAGGGAGGGTGCTTATTTGAAGCTGCTGTATGTATTACATCAACTTATAATCCCCTTGATATTTTTCTTTATTCTCTTCACTTGTCAGCTTGATACTGTATTAATATCATACTTAATTCTGTCTTGGTCACTTATGGGAGATAAAGGGTTAACAATCCTGAGAAAAGCACTATTTCCAGATTCTTACACAAAAAATGCGGAGATGTTGACCCAACAGGTGTTAAAAAAAAGGAGTAACTTGGATCTTTGTATTTTTTTCATTTTCTCTACTGTTAGATCCAAAGCAGAAGCTAGTGAGTGAAATAAGACAAACAGTTCTCCTAAATCAGCCTGCAGTTGGATTTATTTGGACTTTGCTCAAGCTTGTGTATGAGGCAGACTGTTGTGCTGGAAAGAAAATGCCACTTCTTAGCATGTATTTTGAAGTTGATGAGCTCCGAATGGCAAAAGAAAATATGAAGATGCTAGTAACAGTTAATGTGCAGAGTGAACAAGTTGCAAATGAAGATGTAGATTGTTCTCAGTCATTTGAGCTGGAAGTCGTTGGATGATATAATGCAAAGTTACCTTTGCTGCTCTTTATTTTTTTCTTATGGAGAGAAGATCAAGGGAAGAGACTGGACTCAATGTGCAAGCCTTACATTTGAAATCGAAAGGCAAATCACCCTAACTCATTTTTAGCTCACTTTTTGTTTTTTGAGAGGTTAAAGTAACTCTTGTAGGCTTTATGCAGTGCTATTGAAGTTTATCCCAACCTCCATGGTTCCTTGGAATGAAGTACCAGAGAATTCTCCAGGATGAGATGCCAGATCCTTTCAAGTAACCTTGTGTTTCATCAAGTTCTCTGCCAGTTTTAATTTCCTGGGAGGAGTGGATTATTCCACCAAAGACAAATGCAATGACCCCATGTAGACAGTAAAGGCTTAAAGCTTTAGTACTGTTAAAGAATGTACTCTACAATCTGTAAATTCTGCTTAAAACAAATATGATAAAATTATGCCAAACATAAATGCTACATATTTTGGTGGATGTATTTTTAATGCTGGATTCAAGATTTTGTTAGTCATTTGCCAGGAACATGACAAAAAGAAAATCATACTAAATATGCAGCAAACTTGTCAGATATGCACATAGTGCAAAGCTCTCCAACACTCTCTCTGTATCTCAGATGATAGAGAACTGACGATCTTAGGTTTAATTCCTTGTTGAGGACTTGGCAGTTCTGTTCTTCACCTGATGCTTGTTGTGAAACAGTTTCCATGACATTTTAATCAAGTAACTAACAGCTTTATAAAACTGTCTGCAATAAGTTCAATCACCAAGCATATTTTTTGGTTTAAAATGTTACAATGTATCAATCATGTTAGTGACAAGCAAATTTGTACAGACTCTCCTTTTTTGCCTATTTAAATGAGGAAACTTTCCTCGTTGCTAATCGTCTTAATAAAAAAAGCGATTTTGGAGGGAGATCAATCATTTTCGCCACTTCTTTTTATAAATGGATAAAGATAATGTCGATACCACAGGCAAACCACACCAAGTGTTCGTTGACATGAGACAAATGAAATCTGTAAGGGTTATGAATACAGCTCTGAAAATTGCATATCTAAGAATTACATCTTGGTCTGAATATCTCAATAAAGTTAATTGAAATGCTAATTGATGCATTTGTGATGTTTTTAAGCCTTCTTGGGCCATTTGAAGTGTCTTTTTTTTTAATCAATTTTTGCCTCTGTGCAGCGTCAACAAGGACTGGACCAGACTGGACCAGATCAAATCACGTCATTGGTGCTCCCTAGCCCTAGGAATACCTGGTCCTGGTTTCCAGTGTCAGTGATAACTCCTTTGTTTGCAAAACAGATAAAATTGATATTTTTGCTTTCCTATATTGCAAGTACAGCAGTGTTTTTGCTCGATTTGAGAATATGGATTCCTCTTCGAATCTATGAGTCAAAGAAATGTGACAGAAAAAGAAAAACTGCAACATTTTTATAACTGATTTCACAACATAGGGTGTAATCCAACTGTCAAGATCCAACCACTACAATGTGATGAAAATTGCTGTGGTGCATGATATTCAAATATCCATCCTTAATTCTCTTTCACAGAAATGAAGGAGTTGATCACTGATACTGGAAACCTTGACCAGGTATCGTGTATCATGAAAATTGTGCGGTTTTCACTTTTTGGCAGTTTTTGGCAGATTGTTCTTGATCTGTAAAAATAAATAATCGATGTGAGATTTTAGGGCAAAATACACCAACACATGTGTGTGAAATTTAGAGAAGACTTGACATGAAGGGAGCCCAAAAATTAGTCCAATCTAATTTTTGGTGCTCCCTTCACATTGGGTATCAAAATTTCATGTGAGTGTGTATGTATTTTGCACGCCTAGCAAATCACTCCACCAAAATTAGAGACTACTCACAGTGTACATGTTCTGCTGCTTGAACTTCAGAAAAGTTGCCTCCCAGCAGACCCCCATCCCCCCGCTAAAAGAAAACTGCATTGTAGCAGCACATGCATTGATGACAGTGGGACAACATCATGATTTGTACACATAATTAGCCTGCGTGCAGATCTGTCCATGTGGTTTTCGTTGTAAAATCTAAGCATCGATGTACAGATGAAACTTAGTTACAAGTGGTTTTAAGTTGCTATAAGTGGTCTTCAGGCAAAATTCTTCCCCTAAATACAGATTGGAATGTAAATACACATCAAAAGGAAATTTTGACTGAACCATGTGTTCTTTTTTTTTATTTTTCACTATCCTGAATTCCCCCCCTTCCTCCCCCCCTGCTGTTCATCTTATTACAGCTGTTATTATCATTCTTGTAGTACTATGTTATTCTCCAAATAAACGTGGGCCTGAACGAGCACCTCTCTTTAATATGCACTGTAGACACAAGTCATGAAATTCAATGAGCTTCCTAGCACTTTTTTGAGGAAACAGGTAATCTTGCTGGTTGCCTGGGTGAAGGATGAACCTTTCTTATCTTTGCATGTTTTGTCTGATGGTTATGGAGAAAGTTTTTAATATTGCACCAAGAAGCTCATAGAAATTTCTGGCATGACCCACAAAAGGTGAAAATAGCAATTCAAAAATTAATTATAATATGTGTTTATTAACTTATGGCTACCTTCAATTCTCTTTCATCTTTGGTTACAAATATCTTTTGATCCTCTTAGCTGACTGATATCAAACTTGGCAGCATCACATATTCAATTAAAAAAACAAGCATATTCAATCAAAATACATTTCAATATTCCTATGCTTGTCTGCATTACTGGTGACAGAACTGTGCTTGCAGTTTCACATATGACATTTTTCCTCTGCAAAACTTAACAAGAAAACATTTTAACAAAGGGATGTTAAAAAATTGGAATGTCAGACATTGGAGCACAGTACTTGGCTGAAGCCATCAACAACAACTGTCAGCCACACACGTTAATCCTCAGAGCAAATAACATCTCAGACATTGGAGCACAGTACTTGGCTGAAGCCATCAACAACAACAACTGTCAGCCACACACGTTAATCCTCAGAGCAAATAACATCTCAGACATTGGAGCACAGCACTTGGCTGTAGCCATCAACAACAACAACTGTCTGCCACACACATTAATCCTCAGAGCAAATAACATCTCAGACATTGGAGCACAGCACTTGGCTGTAGCCATCAATAACAACTGTCAGCTACCTATGTTAAACCTCTCGTTCAATAACATCTCACACATTGGAACACAGCACTTGGCTGTGTTCCAATGTTGTAGATTTGCAGTTGAAAATCTGAAGTTGAAGCATCAGCCTTGAACAGTTAAGATTTTAACTTACCAGCTACTACTTAGTTATTGTTCATAGAGCCAGACCCCCCAAATTTATTGTTGTTGAATAAATTTTGTAAACCAATTTTAACTTTGTGTTGTGATATATTTAGCCCCAATTGTTAGACACAACTTGGAAGCTATGGGGGAGGGGTGTGGCCTTTTCAATATCAGTCCGAATCTATCAATCTACCAGGGAGACTGCCTCAAGGTAAGGGTATGAAGCACCCCTTAAAAAGATCCTTACCTGATCTCAAATAAACTATTTTCTCCTGCTTCTTTTAACTCAAAACAAAAATTCAACACCATGTCTCAAACCAACAGTAAAATATTTAAGGAAGTGTAGAATGTAAGTGACATGAAATCAATGTAAAATATTTCCTTGAGTAGATTAGTGGCCACTTTAAGAACAAATATTAACCTTTTTGAAGCAAGATTTATGAAATCAGTGCACCTGAGCACACACAAAAATTAAAGAACAGAAAAGAAATCAGTGAATAGAAATGAATCCCACAGGCAAAAAAAATGGGAAGAGGAGGCAAGGAAACCTCACAAAGATTTCCACTTGTTGCAGCTAAGAAAAAACATAACACTTGTGACTTATTCTCATTTTTTTTAACACTTTCATTCCCAGTTTTCATGATTTTTGCAGGACTTAGAATCAAAATGTAACTTTCCACATTTTTGAAAAATAAAGGATAAGTGTCCAAACACTTTTATTGAACATATCTTTTGATCTCTTTCAAAACCCTTTAATTATCATAACTGACAAAGACAGAATTTCTCCTTATAATGACAATACAATATCAAGCAGACAAGTAATGAGAATAAAGAAAATATCCATTAGGGTAATATTAGTTGATCCAATACCAAATTTTTTGAGCTAACATCATAAGTATTGTATGGCAGACAGTAAGGAGAGACATGAACAGAGACACCTATGCAGAGCAAGGTTTCTCCCAGTTTTCTAAGCCTTTGCATACACACACTTTCAACAACCTAGCAAATCATTATTAAGCAAAAGGAAACAAAAATTCAGTGGATGTTTTTATACAGGTTCACCACAAATTTAAAGTATTAGCAATCATAAGTTTAAAAAAAAAAAGAAAAATAGACTCTTGAGTTCGTAAAGCTGCACATAATTAGCTCACAATGTCAATACAGTGATAAATAATGATAAGAAATTCATCTCTAAAATAACTTGTCTGAAAGTCAAAAAATTATATCAAAGTACATTTACAACTGGAAAGTATACTTGCACAATGAGATCACTACTTTCCAGAATTTCCTTTGGAACGACGACTGGAAGCTGCAGATTTTTTACCTCCCTTATCATTCTCCTGACTAACAGTGGCCCGTTTGTACTTGAATTTTAAAGAATCATGCATTTCTTCCATTTTATAACTGAGAGTGGCACTTGTCACAGCAGCCTTTTTAGCAGTAACATTAGCCACAACTGTGGCTAAATTTTCTGCTGATAAGTTTTCTGGTGATGAGTCCAACTCCAAAAACTGCTGCTCCAGTTGCTGAACAGCTTGTTGGATTTCATTTTCATGGTATGTTGTTCTTTCCTAAATAGAAAAGAGAACAGTATCAGTGTGGAGTAACAGTGATTGATGAAGAAAAAGCTACAAACAAATACAGTCAAACCTGTATTAAGTAGTCAGCAGTAATAACCACTATTTAATGCCATAATTGAAAATGCATTGACTCCTTGTTAATACCAGTAAACAGAACCATCAAAATGGTGACATAGCATAAAAAAAAGAACACTAAAGCTGAATTACTATATACTTCTATCTATCAGTTGGGCCTCTAGGTCATATCTATAGGCATAATGTTTGTGCATAATATTTGTTTCAACAGTTCTCAGAAAAATTAGATAATTTGCAATATGTTGAGCACATTTGAACTCAAAGTACTATTCCTAGTTTTATTCAAGAGGTTCTGCTTAAGTAACTGTTCAACGCATGTAAGAAGAAGACAATAAATGCCAGATGCTGGGACTCAGTCAAGGATGACCATGACTGCTTAAGTGGAGAAAAATTAGCAACTGACCACTTTATAACAGGGTGACTGCATATTATATAGTGCCACTTAATACAGGTTCAACTGTATATTGATCCCCAGTTTCATAATGAAATATGTGGGCTTAGCTATGTATTCTTTTGTAGCATTGATTACTCCAATAAAGAGGAACATTTCATAAAATCATAAGAGGGAAATGCATATTCTTTAATAACCAGTACTTCTAGACCACTTTTAAGTTAGGGCAGGCAACATTTATCCATCGGTTCCAGTCAACCATAAAAAACCTTGCTTGCTCTTGTACATGATACATTACATTGTTACACTTTTATTCCAATAAAATGTGTCTTTCTCAAGAAAGAGCATAATAAACATTGAAATAGACTGATTCAAGTAAGAAAGGTTTTGAGGTGAATCGGGCAGTACAACTTCTTAGAATGGACATTACTTCTCAAGTTAACTTGCTACTAGGTCAATGGTTGCATACACAGTCACATACCTGGATGCGTTTTTGCTCCATCTCTTCAATTTGTTTTATTCGCTGTTCTTCATCCCAAACACTCTTAGGTACACCATCCCTCAGAGGTTCTGGAACCAAGGGAGGCTCAATATCCAGCTCACACTTGGTGATGTCATCAGCTCTTTCTTGTGTCAGAACAAATTGATACAGCTTGTAGTGTTGAAATAATGTCATGAAAACAAAATCTATCATAGACTTGAGGTTGTTTTCACTGGAGTAATGGGCAATTCTGTTGAGCTGTTGTTTAAACAGTGTTATAGCCTCCTCAAGTGGTTTGCCTGATCAAAAACAAAATAGTTACTAGTGAAGTTTACACCCAAGGCAGTGGACACAGCATCGATTACAGCATTACAATTGTCTCTTTGTTTTTAAACCTCTTGAAAATACAGTTCCTCTATTTTAATTGTATTAAATTCCACTTTTTGATTTTGCTTTTGTGCTTGACACTTGGTTGGTGCACATAATTCTAAGGATAGAACAGATGTATTCAAGTTTGGAAATGCTTCTTCCTTTTTGAAATATTGAAATGTCATTAAATTCTTCCAGCCCTCATCCCATCATTTCCTTCCACATTGAACCTCCCTACCCACTAAAAAGTTACAGTACCATTAATAAATAAATGGCATGAATTGAAAAATCCCTTGTTAATTACTGGGTAAATAAATGAAACAATTTAAGCAAAAAAGCCTGTAGGATGCTAAATGTGTTTAGTTGACTTAGAGCTATTATGTCTTGTGCATTGAGCATGAGACTCGCACAAAAAAATTCAATCTTACACTCTCATGCTAAAACCATTATTTCTCACTCCTTTAAGGTTTCAAATTTATTCTTTTGATTTTGAGATAGCAAACTTTTGCTTTAATTTAGTACTTATTAAATTAATTATCCTTCCAAACATAATTTATTCCTGGTTCCCTATACACTCACTTCACACACTTTTTAACAGCAGAAATCCTCTCTCAGATTAGAGAAATGCACATCTTAGACATTTCATCTTTTTACAATTTTCAAGGGAAATATTGCCCCCATACCCTCTCCTCCCTTCCACCCTTGATAGGTGATGCCCATAAAATCTCACTCTTTGCCAGCAAATGGACTTGACAGCTCCAATTGACTTAAACTGCATTACAACACAAGTCATAAGAGTTCACTTTCTAGAAAAGTATACAGGAAAGTTTACAGCCAATCAGTAACTCTAGCATTAATTCTTGGAATAAAAAGGGAGATTTTTGTCCAATATTGCTCCAAATAAAAAGCTTAAATGACTTAACAAAAACTAAATTTAGTTCTGCAGAAAAATTTTAAAAATGTACCACCTTCAAGTCCAAATCTATTGATTGAATCTTCAAATTTGCTGACTCAGGTCTTTCACAAGCAAAACAGTAAGCGTTTGAACAAGATCTTATGTCATACAAGAGCATATTTTTTTTCAGCCATAAAATTTTGGGAACATATTTCTTGCATAACGCCAAATCATTCGTTCTGAATACGGCAGGTGCTGAATTTTGTACGTTAAATTTTTTTACATGTCAATGACACTAAACAGTGATCGAGTTTAGACAGTGTGGGATAATTCTACGCAAAGTCAATCACAATCAAAAAAAGAAAGGCTGATATGTGGCTAAGGTAATGGTGTTTACTACCTTAACTAGACTTGAATCCATAGTTAGGTGGCACATAATACCGGCAGGGAAAACACTCATCGATCGACGAATTGAAAGTAATAGCTCACCTCGTACTTCGTTTAATAAATTTTGAAATACTTCCCACAGCTGAGCCACTTCTCGCCATGGAAAACCATTGTTTACAAAATAAGCCAACGTGTCATAATGAATATCAAGAAGTATCCCGGACCTCAAATCATCTTCTTCGTTAAATTCTGGAATTTTTAGAACTTTACCTAACAATTTCTTTCTTTCTTTTACGTCGGTAACACAAAAGACAGTTTTAAAATCTCTATGTCTAGTGCCCGACTCGGTAGCCATGTTTACCACTCGAAAGGCATTTGTTCCCAGGGAAACTCGTCCTTAATGATCCACACAAGCGGGCTTAATGAGAGCTCAAACAGAGAGTGGAAAATAACTCAATAGATACAGTGAAACCTAAGTAAACTTGGCTCTTTTTCCTTAATAAAAGTACTTTTTATATATTTCCTCTAGGTGTGAATTAGAACTAATCAAGTGTGCATTGATAAAACGTCGTAAAAATGTTCTATGGCTCATGGCTTTAATGATGCAGTCAAAGTCTATCAATTGTGTCAGAAACTGAAGTAGTAAAAGGTACAGTCAGTCTTCAGGTTTTGCTGATCATGTTGATCATTGTGTTCTTTGATTGGAATTTTCTATAGGGGATCAAATTTCGCGCGACTGAATTTATTTTTGCCGGTCTTAAATTTCGCGATTTTTTGCAATCTCTGAAATTAAGTATCCAAACGTTCGTTGCAAAATATTTGAAGGATAAGAAACACAGTGGCCTCTATTTTGCGCGAAAATATGCTCGTATATTTGTTCTTGGACAAAATCTCTTCCTCGAAGCTCACAACTTTTTCGTTCCTTGAATTTAGCAAAAGAGAACGTGGATATCGATGAAAAATATCTGTTCCTCATTATAAACTACATCTAAAACAAAAAAAGGGGAAAAATTTACAATTTATAATTTCCCAATCCATTTTTCCATTCAAGAGGTTTGGAGTTCGTTTTGACGGTGCTATAAATGTGCGTCTTCGAATTTTTTCGCGTTTTAATTGAACGAGACAAAGTCGAAGTCCATGAAAACACTTCCTTCCCCCCCTTTCCCCCCCTCCCCCCATCAAGGAAAAAAAGAACAAATATCGCTTTAGGAGGAATCGAGAACGGCTTTTTTCTGGCGCGCTTGTTTTTTTTTTTTTTTTTTTAAATCATGTTTAATTATTTGTAGCACAATAAACCCACATAAGCCTTCTCTCCCTTTCTTCTCCTACCAACCTCAGACCAAGAGTCACTCTCGGCGTAAAGAGACGCTTCAAACGGCCCATGAAGGCGAAAAAATACCACACGAGTCGATTAGCATTTCATTTAACTTTTTTTTTTGAGATATTAAGACCGAGATGTATTTTAGATATGCAATTTTCAGAGCTTTATTCATAACCCTCACAGATTTTGTTCGTTCCACGTCAAAGAACACAGTGTGGTCTGCTTGTGAGAAGACAAAAAAAAAACAAGAAAACATAGACGATATTCGTGGGTTTATTATGCTAAAAAAAAAATAGGAAATGAGAAAAATCTGTAACTGATGGAAGTGCTTTTACTGAAAGAAAAACGAGGCAAGAGAAGTTAGTTTCATTCCAAGAGCAAGAACTGAGTTTGCTTTTGAGAATTTTTTTTTTTTAAACGTAGCTAAAACATACCTTTTTTTTTTGTTTGTCAGATGAAAAACAAACACCTGTCGATTGGCTTTCTTTCCCAGGGTTCGAAATAAACAGTTAGTTATTCTTGATTCTTATTACGTTGTTAGAGCGAAATCTTTTTGAATCATAATAAATCCCTTCTTGACCAAGCTCGTTCGATCAAGGCGACTTTATATCAGCCTCGTTCCTTTTTTTGTTTTATGGATCTCGACTTCGTCTCATTCAATTGAAACGCGAAAAGAACTCAGGTCAATATGCAACCATCCTGACCTTAGTCCCCCCTCACGCTTGGTCAATAACATACATGTATTTTCGCGCCAAATAAAGGCTATTATTTATTTAATCTCGAGCCTTTTTTAGCCCGCACATATACATGTACACATCACCAACCTATTTCAGTCACCTAGCGACGGTAAACGATCAAACATGGCGAACCATAAGGTTCCAAGGTTCTCAACTTGGCATAGAGAAACATACGTTGATCCGATAAATATGCCTGCAAATAGATACTTTACACCACACTTTATGCCGTATAGAGATAGTCAACGATATGGAGAAGGAAGAGAAAAATGGTTTCAAGACTACAGGCGTTCGTACGTGGCTGAGAGAACCTTGGTGAAGAACTTAAATACGCTTGGTTCCCCCTACCGACCCACAAGCTTATCCGATAAGCCTGACCGTGTATTAGGGACTCGGTGCCTGCGAAGAGAAGCTGTTTTGAACAAACCGCATCATCACCTCACCAACAGAATTCCTGACCGCGAGAGAGACCGCGCTCAAATCGACGACTTAGTCTTTCAGCATCGTCAACAGTATAGAGACCAAAGTGGTACGTTGTTCGACCAAAAAGTAGCTTATTTTCACAATCCCACCACAGCCGAAGAGCAGTTTTTGCCCAAAGTGAATCCTCCGAAAGATACCATCGGCAGTTATCCGAATAACACTAAAGCTGCTCTGGAATACACGTATGACTTGGAGAGAGGGCCTAAAGAATATGAACTTTGGCACAAGGTGTAAGTTTTCGAGATGTTCACAAAAACATGCTACTATAACCTAGTACTAAACACCGCGATTTGTCTCACAGAAATCGCATTGTGTGTAAGGAATAGTAGCCTAAAATCTGTTGTTTTAGAAGTTGTGAATTATCCAGTTTGACTGAAATATGTAGGAAAGCACCAACGAAGTTCTGTATGTTCGCTTGTACCGTTAATAACAGATTGATTTTACTCCCTTGGATTTATGGCGAAAAGCCGTAAATCAGGGGGAGGGGAACAAAGATCCGTCACTTGTAGTACATATCAAGAAGACAAAGTTTGTAAGATATTTATTCTATCTCTATATTGTGTCTGACGAGTTCCATGTAAAATAAGATTCCAAGTCATGATCATTCGAAAAACTAAGGCATGTCAATTGAAGCAAAATAAGTCTATTGAAATTGTTTTTCAGTTAATTTAAACTCTTGTGAATCCAATAAAATTCAAGAAAAATGGCAAATAAGTATCAATTAAATTTAAAGCTAAAAGACTGCTTGCTGAACTGATCAGTCACAGCATCAATGTCCCCCTTCTCTGTCCCTTTGCATCGGGAACACTAGTGGTTTGTCAGTCATATCAGTGTGACTGTGTTAAAAAAAAGATGTTAGTATTCATGCAAGTATTTGATTGAGCCTGACTAATACTTCACGTAAAAGTCCTTTTGGCAGGCTCTAGTCTTTCTATTGCACTGATTTTTTTCAGAATGGAAGTTGTTTGCTCACAACAGTAGTTCATTTACTTGGTCTGCATTTTAAAATAACTCCAGTATGAAATTGTATGCCTCAAAAGTTATGCAAACTGTTTGGTCAAATGAAATGAAACTTATCTTTTCTTTTTTAAATATGAAATGGCATGATATCTAATTTGTGCTAGATCTAGAGGAGAACCCCTTCCATGTTAGAATGAGCTGGTTGCACTCAATTAGATAACATGTATATTAAGTTTTAATATTATCATTTCTCCCTCAGTGTTGGCAAGGTCACGTGAAAGTTTTTCTTTTTGTAGCCCATCTCCCACATGTTTTGTCTGGTTTTCTTTTATGATATATTGGAGGACAAATGCATAGATGACCTCATCATTAACAACATCTCTCTTTTTTATCATGAAACAAATGGATTCCATGTTGCCAAGGGTCTATGCAGTGTTAGATCACAGAAAACACCAAAATGTGGTGAGAACATCAGTGACACACTCAGCTGTGCCTTGTGTGCAACCTTTTTGTTGTTACCACATTTTGACCTCATCTGTTATTGGTTACCAAACAGACACACAGCAACATGGATTGAGAGTGCAGTAAGAGAATTTTAACTGAAAACACAGGTCATATTTTCTTTAAAAAACAAATTAAGTGTAATCACACTTAATAGTTGTGTAGAGGTCATCTCTTTTTAATTTGAATTTTTTTACTTATTCAATTCCTTTTGAGGTCTTGTGATAGAAGAGAAGATTATGCATAGGACTTAAATCGAAGGGTTGCATCTTGCAACAGTTATTTTGCAATATTATTCTATTAAATGAGAGAATCACATCCATTCTGATTGCAGAAATGCCATTTATCTTCCTAATAAAATTGGAACATTTTTCCTATCTTCTAAGGAAGATTAAAGGCATCTCTGAAAGAAGGTTAGTTTGGCATTTGTAGGAGACATATCTCTCAGTGTAAGGGAGTTTAAGGAACATTAAGCTCAACAATGAACTCTTCTCCCTTCTTAACCCTTTACACCCTACCATCAGTATTCATATTCTCCATACTGTTCTCTATACATTTCCTAAGGTGCTATCAAGGAGAATTTGTTTACCAATCAAGAGCCTCTCTAGTTGGTGATCATTTTCTTTATTCTCATGACCTTTACATTTGATTCAAGGGTGACGATGAAAGGAGAAATTAGAAGTCAATCACTCTCAAAGGTTAAAGGATTAAGTGGTAGTTTAGTATAGAGCAGACCAAGTATAAGGAGATACCTACCCTCAGAAACATGGTCTTAACATCTTAAGGTGTAACAGTAATAGCAGAAGACATAGCCATTTTTGATGCAGAGACAAATCTATGTTTTTTAATCCAGAACAGTCTATTCATTTCTTTAATTTGCTTACAGCAGAGTAATCTGGTGAAATATATTAGGATCCATTTTTGTATAAAGCAAGTTGTAAAAATTGTCAATGTCAATTTCAATCAATGGGTTTGCAGTGCTGTGCCACAGTGCTAAATTCTTGTTTCCTGGCTAGATAACCTTCTGAGTTTATGTCACTTGAGCTGAGTTTGAGCTGAAAGAAAATACAAAGTTTCAAAAAAAAAGTGCTGACAAAGTGGCTAAAAAATCCGTACTTTGAAGAAAAAGTAATCAAGCGAAATATCTTATTGTTCGATTCGTATCGCTTGCGATGATATGGAAATAAAATATTTCTGTATATGATTGGCATGTTTGGCTGATTGGTAGGAATCTGTTGTACTGTCCTGCACGCGAACAAGCCGTCAAACCGGGTGCTTGAAGTATTGCATAACCCAGAATAATCAGAGTCTAATGAACAAGTCAAGAAAATTTGAGGATTTTTTTACCTTTATCAGGAAAATGTCTTCTTTCCCTGTGTTTTTCTGGAGAACTTTTGAAGTCCAGCCTGCTTGCTTGGTGTTGATTTGAATCACCTTTGAACACGCTACTTGCAAACGCATTTGTGTTGTGTTTCCTGTTTGCTCGCAGCCAGTCTTGCTTGGAGTTGAGTTCGACGGTGCACCAAGATTCTATATTCATGACCTCTTCTTTCCCTTTTCTTAGTTCCTAACTACTTTGTTGCTGTTGGTGAGAACCTCCTTCAAGACTGAGAACCACACACACCAGAAATCGTTTCCATGGAAATAACGCCCAGTGTGGAATCTCCTGGGAAGGCCTGGTGACAAAGCAGAAGGCCTGGTAGATTTCTGCTCACAAACACGAGGAGAGAAAATGGTATCAATTAAGATATATATGGCATTCCGTTTCATGCTGTTTTGCTACTGAACTTCTTCGATTACCTGTTTCCTGATATAACTTTCAGTTATTAGCAGGAGATTCTTTTTTGCTATTATTTTGGAAAGGATGTATGCGATTTATAAACAAACGCACCCTCCGACAGGGATCGAACACTGCGTCTACTGTCAATTCTTTTCGCCAGCTGAAAACAATCTTGTTGTGGCGGGGACATCACAGCTTCGTATCTACAAGTTTTATACCCAAGATGAGGTAGGAGACGGGCTCCGTGAATCGTTTAGTGGGGACTTCAGTTGTTGTATTATTGAAAATATCTTGCTCGATTATCAGGTGTAGACATAAATACTCTATTCTCTGCAAGCGAAATTCCCCAGGCAATTAAACTATTTCCGACGTCTCTTTTTTCCTGGTGGTTAAAGTTCTTCTCAGGCTGTCATGTTGGTACCTAGAAAAGGAAATATTGTTTAAGTGGTCAAATCAAATTATGTATATCAAATTTCAAAACAAAACGATCTGAGGTAAACAAACAATATGGCGGCTGAGGGGCTGGCGAAGGGAATTGACCACTGTAGGTAAATGAAACAGCTGTTTTCTCATGCTTAATTTATATGCCTTGTTATCAATTCCTTGGGTCTCCATCTTGTGTTTAACTATTTAGTAGTGTTCACATGGCCTTTGGCAATTAATTATAATTAAACTTTCTTTGATCTATGATGTCTTCCTTTTAGCATAACTCAACAGGATCAGCATCATCAGACAAGACAGGAGGTCAGTATTTACTTAAGGTATCAGTATTTGCTTGGGTTATCAAGTGTGAGATGTACTAGTAACAGGCTTTCTTAAGTTAACTTGAAACCAACGATTAAATTAGATTTTGACTTCAAAGAAAAACACCAGATTTAGAAAGTAGAAAGTTGCCAAAATATATAGAGTGTTATTATGAATATTTCTGGTTACTTAAGCTGGCACACTTGGTGATTTCAAACACTGATTGCAATGAATTTGATCCCCACCAAAAATGGCCAATATCTGACATGCTATAGAGATGGAGATGTTCTCAATCTTCTGTGTTATTACTTCCTGGTAGTTTAGTTTTAATTTTTAATTTTTTTTTTTTGGGGGGGGGGGAGATTTAGGAGGGAGGGAATTAGCCTCTCAACAGATTGTAAATGTAGGTTTACACGTGGATGGTTACCAACATTCTAAGACATCTTTACCCTTCAATGTAATAGTCAATTAAATAGCTCATATACAAGAGGTTCACTTTGCAAGATTGGGTATCTGTGGTTTACTTTACCTAGATGGTACTGCAAAGAGAAGGAAGTTGGAGCTTGTCAGCCAGTATTCTTTGTTTGGCAACATAGAATGCCTTAAAGCTGTTAGGTTAGCTGGAAATTCAAGGGACTCACTGCTATTGAGCTTTAAGGATGCCAAGGTATTCTCTTCTTTAAGTTTAAGCAATTAAATATTAAGTTTGTATTATTCAATGACTTTTTTTTTCATTTTTGCATAAATGAGATGAATAAGCCTTTTGAGTTGATTTATATCGATTCTGTCACTTTGGAATAACCAAATATTCATATTTAAAGGAGAAATGTTCTTCACTTTAAAATGTTATTTGCATCATGTTGTGGACTTTTAGTCAAAATCAGGGTCAACATTTGATGAAATGTTCTTTTCTAATATATTAATGATGAATTGATTTGTAATCAGCCAATGAGAATTTAATTATTTGGTCAGAGAAACCTCAATAGACATATGACAATGAACTAATATTTCCAAAGATTCAATTGTCAGTGAAATCCTAAGATATTTACAAGACCTGTATCAAATTACACTACTCATGGAGCACTTTAAGTGAAATGTATGAGATGAGAAAGTTTTTCCATTTTAAGTCATTTTTGTTCCACTTTAACTTCTTTGCCATTTATTTTAGGAAAGGTAAAAAAAAAATTGACTTAAGGTACACACGTGTGCCTTGATAATTAACATGATGTCCAAATTTATAAATTTAAATTCTTCTAAGTGTTCTTTAATAAGTGTCATTTGATTATGTGTGCAGTTTGCTGTGGTGGATTATGATCCAGGCACTCATGACTTGAAGACAAGAAGTTTGCATTACTTTGAAGATGACAAAATAACCAAGGTAGTAGAATTTATTATTAAAACCTCTGCAACGGTAAACAAAATTTTAAATTTATCACAAAATGTTGTCTTCACAGCAAGAATGGTTATGATTCAAATAAAAGCTATTGTTAAGTAAAGTAAAGATGAAGTCTGTACAAGAACCAAAAGACTCCATCAGTTTAATGGTGAATATGTAATGGCTGATCACTTTCAAGCAGTCCATTCAAAGTTGGTTTATACAGCAGAAAAATTGCACACTTACTTACCAACAAAGAAGTACAAATCCAAAACGTTTGTCAGGGTAAACTATATGTGTCATGTTGTTTAGGGACCTGTCTGTTTAAAATTTTTGGGGTCAAAGCCACCTTTGCCCCAAAACTTGAAAAAAACTTGGTTCTGTACCACTTTCTTCATGTTGTAAAATAGGTTTTGTATGTTCATCATTCCTGATATTCCTGCTTTGTAAATGGCAACATGAATTCATATTCATATGTTAAATAATGAGACAGATGGTACTTTCTTAATTTTACAGTTGTTTTGTATTCCTTGTATCACACTACAGAGTTGCAATCAAGAGTATTTTCGGCCTCCTGTGGTGTGTGTGGATCCTGATCGACGCTGTGCAGTGATGCTTATCTATGGCACACATATTGTGGTTTTACCATTTAGACAAGAAGGAGTATTGGATGAACACGAGCAGGAAGGAACTTTTACAGCAAGGTATGATATATGTGCACAAATGACCTGATTTTTGTAACAATATATCCAAAAAGCATCATGGGACTTACTCTGTAGATGGGTATATAGATCTACCAAGTATAATTAAATTTGGTCCTAGCCAGGTTAGTGATGTGATGATGTTACCGAAAAATCAAAAACTTTTGGCAGCAAGAAGTAAAAAACAACAACAATGTGCTGTCTGGAAGCATTACATTAGGGTAAACTAATGGTACGAACAGTCATTCATTTGTTAATTTTACAGTAACTTCTTGAGACACAAAGTATGCAGTGGTGAGGTAAACAAATTTAAGTGATGGCCATGCTTTTTAAACTATAGATTGAGTTTTTTCTTGATTCAGCCTTCACAGTCATTACAGGGTACATGTTTATTTGGTTAAATTTGTGCCTTATGAGTAATGGAGATTGTGTATGGCCTAACTTCAGAATTTTTTAAAGGAGTTTTATTTTCAAATTGGGAATTAGGAATTGTTTGTGTTTTGTGGAAATACTTTTTAGGGGTCAGGATGTCTGAAATTTATGCTGTGAACTAAATTTTTGCCATTGAAGGTGGTGTTGTTTCATGTACTTCTCTGTGGGAACGGATTTCTTTAGATTGAGGAGAATCTGCTTAAATTTTGACCTAAAAAATGTTTGTTTTCATTATGTTCTGTTTCAGTGGTGATCGATCTCCTTTGTTACCAAGTTACACCATCAACCTCAAAGACATTCATGAAAAGTTGTGCAACATTATAGATATTCAGTTTCTTCATGGTTACTATGAACCTACCTTGTTAATACTTTATGAACCACTGCAAACTTGGCCAGGGTGAGTAAATCATTGTGTTTACAGTGCTGATAATTTGATTAGTGTTTGTCTGACCAAAAGTTATGGCCTTCTCTTTTTTTAAGAATTCACTTGAGAGAGTGCAGAAATTGTTAATAGTTTACTTGTGGAAAAAGAGTGTTTCATTTTATGTGACCATCTACCCTTTTAATTTAGAAATATGAAGTCTTCTTCAATTTTGGGCACAAAAATTTACAGTTGTTCCCAAGAAAAATGGGTTTCAAATGGCAAACATTAACTTGCTTAGGGTTAGGGTTAGTCAGACAGTCTGAGAAGTCACTAGTAATTATTGCAATGAAACTAAAACTAAACTGTGTATGCAAATCATACAAAATTGTTGCCAGCTTTTTTTTTTAGCTTCAGAGATGCCAGGCTTTCTAATAAGTGAAGTGTATGCTGGACTCAGCACCAAAAACTCTGTTTGAAGCCAGTTTATTCTGAATGGAAGTAATGGGATAATAAGAGGGAAATTGTTTTTCTTACTTTTCTCATGCGGGTGCTTTACCAAGGAAACCACCTTCTTCAAATCTTGTTGAAAGTGCTGTTATGGTTACATTTGCTTTATTATTTCTATTTATGGCCTGGCTACATATCACTGGCTTCAATTACACAATAATGGTATGAATAATTTTCTGACAAACATTCAAGGACAAGCTATAAGGATGTATACAGTTACATTAAAGTGAAGTGGTCCATTTATTCCAATCTCAATATGTTTGTTATTAGCCGTCTTGCCATGCGACATGACACATGTGCTTTGGTCGCTGTCTCCCTGAATTTATCTCAGCGCACTCATCCAGTTGTGTGGTCCCTGAATAATCTGCCATTTGATTGTAGTCAAGTTCTTGCTGTACCTAAGCCAATTGGTAGGTTAAAATAGTAATAATACATTGATTATTGGTGACTACAAGTCAACTTTATTTATTTATTTATTTAATCTGTTGGTATTTCTCCTGTAAGGAACATATACATACACCAAAGAACAAGTCTTGCCATAATTATGACAAAGAATTCAAGTCAAGGAGTTTTCTCCATTATTTAAACTGTTACAGGATAGATTCAACTTTTTAAGATTACCTTTGTTGACAGCATGGGATTTTTCCAGAAAGAGGTTTGCATTAATCTCATTGGTTTAGTTTTAGGTTTGCATTTGACTGAACTGTTATTTTTTTATTGGACAGGAGGAGTGTTGGTTTGTGCTACAAACTCTCTGCTGTACCTTAATCAGAGTGTTCCACCATATGGTGTGTCATTAAACAGCATAGCTGAACACAGCACAGACTTTCCTCTAAGTAAATACAAATTTTTTTTGTTGAAGCATAAATGTTATACATTTAATATTGTTTTTTTTTTTTAGTAATGTATTTGGACAGGCAACATTTTTTTTTAATTACTCCACTGAGAAATCTAAATTTTAATTAAAATGAGCAAGGCAGGTATTTTTGGTGGAAAAGTGTGAAATGGCAGGACCAGTTGTCGTCAAGCCTCTAAGCAGATCATGTTCTAGATGACAGCTTGAATTAAGCCAATGCTGCTTTTTCTGATGTACAATCTTTGTATGTTGTCATGATGAGTGTAGCCAAGCAAGTTATTGTATTTTTCAGAGGTCCAAGAGGGTGTGGTGATCACCCTGGATGGTGCCCAGACTTTGTTTATATCATCAGACAAACTGGTCTTTTCACTTAAGGGGGGAGAAATGTGAGTTCATCATAAAAGTATTGAATGTAATGCTGAATTATATTTATGTAGGTTTTGATGGGCTGGTTGAAATGTAAAAATACCATCCTGACTTATAAAAAGTAATTTAACATGCATTTTCCAACTGGTTCAACTTATGCATAAACCATGGTTATCATTAATGGAGTATTTAACCCTTTTGACCCCTTTAGAGTGATAAGTATCAAATTTCTCCTTACAGTATCACTGCTGAATCAAACTTTAAGGTCATAAGAATAGAGTAAAAGATCACCACCTTGAGAACCTATTGATAGGTGAAGAAATTCTCCTTGTCAGCACCATAGGAAATGTATAGAGAACAGTATGGAGAATATTCACACTGATGTTAGGGTGCAAAGAATTAAATGTTAAAAACTCTTTGTCATGATGTACGTCATTGAGTTGCATAAAACATTTTCAAATGTTTTCCTTTATAAATGAATGCCTTGTGGGAAAGGAAGAAAACTTTTTCAAAATGTCAGTATGAACTTGAGCAATGAGATGTGATAAACATAGACTATGAAAGTCTTCCTAATTACCTTGAAATTAATAAATGGGAAGACATGTTTTAAATTTATACCTATATTGTTTTGTTTGCTCCCACATGTAGTTACGTTGTAACCTTGGTAACTGATGGAGTGCGGAGTGTACGGGGCTTTAATTTTGACAAAGCAGCAGCAAGTGTGCTTACTTCCTGTGTATGTAACAAATTTACTATAATAATTAAACTTTCTTTGTAAGTAATATGATAAGATTTATAGTTCATTCTTTTGTTACAAGAGTTGCTTATGCAGTGAGAGGTTACAGTATGGTTGCATTTACAACAACAGGGGCCTTTGGCAAAGGAAATCAACACACAAATCCAAAGTTTTTTAAATTGCACTGGCTTTTCTGTGTGATTTTTAGTTTGCATCATTTTGTGTAGGTCCTTCCAACCAGTTGTCATGGCTAAAATTCATCTTGCAGTGGCTCAAATCTGAAGATCATTTTTATTTAGTGTGGTACAGATTTTCATATTTTTGGCCTCCTCTAAGAATCAGTCACATAAATTATTCTTCTGTTTTCATTCAGACAGTTAAGAAAACTTAACAAGATCAGTTGGGTTTGCTTTGGGACAAAGACCAGAAAAAGTTGTTGCGCTCATTTTTTCTCCTGTCTATTCCTTTTTTACTTACCATATCACAACTTTTGGATAGTTTTCATCAGTGGCACAGGAATATTTTGAGACACATGAACTGATCTGTAAAAAGTTGTTTTTGTTGCTACAACTTTATAGTTAAGTCAGTTGTTGTATTCTTCATTCTGGAAATATTTACCTCAGTCATCTGAAGAACATTTTTTGATATTTTGCAGCAAATCTCTCCTACTGTGATACCTTACTTAGTTTTCCTTCATGAAACTTATTTTTACTCTAAATTTTTTTCTAGGGATCATACTTTCTGTAGGTCTTATAGCTGTTTTTGTGTGTATTTCCTTCAGGTTTGTGAGTGTGGAAATGGGTATTTATTTCTTGGATCTCGACTTGGCAACTCAATCCTTGTCAAATACACTGAAAAGGAGGAACTAGGTAATAAAAAGACAATTGAATCAATTGTAGATGTTTTCTGAATGAAGACATTTCTACTCTCTCTTGTTCCTCTTGAAGAAAAATAATGGTATCCAAATTGGATTACTTTAGGATGTTGTAGTTAATAAAAACCACTAGCCTAAGGTTGAATTAAGAACCAATTTCAGTACATAAACTAATTGATAAAGTACTGTTGCATTTGATATCAAGGGTACTTTTGATTTGTGCCTTATTCCACATCAAGAAATGACAACATTTTCAAGGGCAATCCAAACAGATCTCTCATAATGGTTTAACCAGTACCTGATAAAGATATTTTATGTATGGGCAGTATTAGATACACTTCAAAAGGTTCTCCAGTTACATACTATTTGTAACATACCTGGCCCAATATCAGCTTCAGAGCAGTAGAAATTTAAAAAAAAACTACCGATGGGTAGCATGAAGCCCTCCAGCAATCATCCAAACAAGCAGCTAGAATACCATATTTCTATATAACTTAACATTTCATGGTCCTTTCTTTGCTCTTTGTTAGGTACAGAACCAGATTTGTTCTCACCAGGAGTAAGTTTCTGATGCCTTCAATTCAAGTCTGTTAAGCCTTACTCATAGTAATTAAGTATTGGTAATAACATGATTTTGAGTGCAATTTGGTGTAAAAAAGCATGAGCAAATTTCTCTAAGGCGACAAAATTTGTAGTCTTTGAAAAATTTACAAGTGCTTATTACAACAAATTGCAAGAGAAATCATGTTATAACTTGTCAATAATGTACATGAAAAACCATTGCAGAAACTCAAGCTAAATTTTGAAAGCTTGCATGTGCTATTTGTAATTTGCTCTCGTGTTACAACTTTGCTCTCGTGTTACAACTTTGCTCTCGTGTTACATGAGAATGCTTGTTTTCAGCCAATCAGAATGGTGTAACCTTTTCATGTGCATTATTATAGCTGATTAACTCTTCTAATGAATACAAAACCTCTACTTTAACAAAACATGGTACAATATGTACTCATGGAAACTACTTGATGTTCTACATACGCACTTTATGTTTGCATGCATCAAGTTGAGGATAAAATTCCTTGCAAAAATCTAGATAATTGGAAAAAATTGCTGTAACATAGCATGCCTGCAAATTTGACTAGATCCTGTGTAAATGAATAGACTCTTCAGAGCCTAAGTGCGCAACATGACAGGAAACTGTCAACTGGGGAGAAATCAGTAAGCACTAAATACATGCAATTACCTAACAGAGTACTGGTGAAATAAGTCTTATTTTAAACGTGACAAGAGAACAGAGCAATATTTACATTTGTTATGAGGAATTCAAACATTTGCAAATATAACAAAGTTCAGACTATGGTTTCTTCAGTAGGCTGTGTGGTGATAACTTGGTATTTTGGTACTTACTACTCAAGCTATGCCTTCTATATGAGAGAATGAACAGAGTGGTATGTTTTTTTAGATGGACCCGCCACAAGCCAAAAGAAGAAGACTGGACACAGATTACACATATGCTTTAGGTCTGTAGCCAGATGTCTCTGTCATGCTCTTTGATTTTGTCCTACGTGGGGTCTTTCACTCTTGCTGCTGTGAACATAACCACATCCACAAGGAATCCTGTAAACCAGGCTATCTTATGATCCCAGTTTGATAGCATATTTTGGCTGCACTAGGTCTGATGGTAGCATGGTCTGTGACTTGAAAACAGCATATACCAGTATGCCATGATTTAGAAACCTGCAGCTGTGAATAACCACAACCTTTTCACAATTTGTTTATGTTTGTTTATGTCTTTGACAGATGATCTGGACGAGTTGGAAGTGTATGGTAAAGAAGAACAATCTGGGGTGAAGCTCACATCATACTCATTTGAAGTGAGTTTGTTACATTTGACATACATACTTGTCAACTCTGTGGAAGTGAATGATTGTCACTGAGAGAAGTATTGCCAGCTCAAATACATGTAGTTTGAATCTGCCAGGTAAGCCAGGTTAAAGAAAAAATATATTGCACCTACCTTAATTAAGATACCATTGTCTCATTGACAGGTATGCGACAGTTTGCTCAACATTGGACCTTGCACTAGTGTTGATATGGGAGAGCCTGCATTTCTTTCGGTGAGCTTTTGGGATCAGAGTTTTGTCTCTGAAGTAGTTTTCATAGTATGATTTATATTTTGTTTGCTATCCTCCTTGCAACATTAGAGAGATAAGACAGGCAAATAAAGCAATATAAATAAGTTTCAAAAAGTGTGTGGAAAGGGGAAGAAATTATTGCATCATTAATGCTTGTAAATTGTGCAAGAGTCTTATCTTTATGCTCTCAATAGCAAATTAACCTCCAGAAGTTGGTGCAGGATATGAAGTTTGAAAACTAAATTCAGTCAATTCCAATCACTTAACAGAAAACATGTGTTTATATCTTATTTTTAGTCATGCTTATTTTCAAAGAACTAACAATTTCATTTTGCTTTTGAATTGACATGTTCTTCATTGTTGTCAACAGGAAGAGGTTTGTAATTTTCATGATCTCTATCTATGTGTATTCTAAAAATTAGCATGCATGTAATTGTTGTTTATGGTGATATCTGTTTTGCTCTAATTTATATTAAGAAGTAAAAATGCAATCCTCATGGTTTAACAACTATTTCCCTGTTTCTAAAACAATGATTATTTTATTACTGCATAGAGAGTATGCAAGTGTTTTATGTGTAGTGTTTAATCTCATGCAGCTTTTTTGTTACTACTCTGCAGTTTTCTGGTGGTAAGGAGCTGGATTTGGAACTTGTTTCATGTTCTGGGTATGGAAAAAATGGTGCATTATCAGTTCTACAGGTGTTGTAAATGTCTTTTTGTTTTATTATTAGTTTTATGTATGAGATTCAGCAAGTCTGTATTTCCTTCTTAAAATAAAACTTTGTGGGGTTAAGACTTGAAAGACTTGTAATGGACGATAAACTTCTGACAGGTGACTGTTGAAATAAAATTTAGTTTCTTGTTTTCTGATATGAAAGCAATATTAACCAACTAGTCCCCAAGTGTTCATACATATCTCTACTGGAAGCTTAAAAATTTAGGGATACATGATAAATTATACTTGCTTAGAGTTATTAAAAGAAACACATCGATTATTATCATAATATATTTCTAATGTCTACTGAAGAAGATGCAGTAGAACAAAATCATTTGAAAGCATTGAACAACAAAAATGGGCTAAAGATGTGATTGAATAACAATTCTCAACTTGATATTTGAATTTTGAATATGAATGAATTTAACATGGTGATATGATGAAGAATTGTTATTTTGAATATGAAATTTGGATGTGAATTGGTTCATTACTCTTACTGTTAGTGTTAATTGTAACCAATCTAAATGTTAATCCATATAGATATGAGTCTGTGTCATTACAGCATGTTAATCTTTTAGTGTTCATTCAAATTATTTCCTATTTTTAGCGAAGTGTGAGACCTCAAGTTGTGACAACATTTGAGCTTCCTGGCTGTGTTGACATGTGGACAGTTTTGTCTGGTGAACAGGTCTGTTAAAAACAGGAGAATAAATTTCACTACAGACAAGTACAAGATTTACTACACTGTGAAATGTTGGTGTACAATTGAAATATAAGTTCCCTCTATTCAATGTTCACACTGTTTTTGCCAATAGTTTGGCAATCAAGTGTATTTACTGAACTGTTCAATCCCTCACCAACAAGTTTTCTTTCACTCTACAACTTGCAATGCTTGCTTTTATTAATGGTTTCTTTCAAAAAAACTTGTAAGGATGTGTCTTGGCTATTGTAATTAATGAAAGGCAATCTTCTTAATCTCTGGGAAACACAAGGCAGTCATTCATTCTGAAAAAGGGTATGAAATCTGTAGTAAATATAGTTTTGCCTTGAAACATTTCCTGGGTGACTTCACCCTGAAGAGTCAGCCGCTATTAATTGCAAGAGGGAGGGTATAGTTGGCTTGGAACATTCCCTAAACATAGTTGCTTCTTTGCTTTGTACATTTACCCAGGGTGACAACAGCTATCACTCATTCCTACTGCTCAGCAGAGAGGACTCTAGCATGGTAGGTATTTAGTGAGAAGCCTGTGGAATATTGTTCATCAGTACACCACACAGGTGAATACTGCTTTTCAGACACACTGACTGGCCGGTTCAGATGTGTTTTGCAAGAACCATTCACCCTCGAGCAGTAGAAGAGACAAAATTGCACCAAATTGCAATAAGAAAACGTTGTGATATTAAATTAATTTAATTAGTACCATAAATGACCCACATCAGCCCCTTCTCTCACTTTTAAGCTGCACTGCCTGTATCAGGTATTTAGGACTACAATGGTTAGTCCATGTAATTTTTTCTTTGATCAGGCATTTAAATACCATTTTTACTCCAATGAAGGTGTTAAAGACAGAACAAGAGATTATGGAGCTTGATCACTCAGGCTTTACTTCCCAGTACCCCACTGTTTTTGCTGGAAATCTTGGGAATGGAAAGTACATCTTGCAGGTTGTTATTGTTACCTTGAGGTGTTTGGTCACAAGTAGCTGAAAGCAGACAGACAGAATAAGGGTTTATGTTCACACTTTGTATAATTGGATGTAATTTACAATTTGAAAAAAAGAAGTATCAAAGAAAAAAGGTGCTAGTTTTACGGATATGTTTTTCATACATAAAGTTCTATTTTTCACTAGTTATATTTTATTACCAGTAAGTAAGTTAAGGTTTATATATGATTTTAGAGATTTTATGAGGCCATAACTTTTACAATTTTTATTTTGTTTCTTTTTAAAAAAAGGTACCTTCAATTTCTATGATGATGATGATGATAATGATGTCAAATTTAAATACTAGAGAAATTACATTAATCCTTTGCAAGCTATTGACTCTCAAATGTAAATATTAATAATTATCTTTCTATTTATTAGGTAACTCCTCAAGGTGTTAGCTTGTTAGAAGGAGGTGAGGATGACCTCTACTTTATTAATTTTAATTAATTGTTTTATTTTTGACTATGTTGTCTGTTTCTAAAACCAAAATCATGTTCTTTGTTCTTAGGAGTAATTATGCCTATGGTGTGTTAAAGTTTTGTTTGGTTGTATTTTATTTAGTAACACAGTTGTATCACATTTCACTGGATGCTGGCTTGTCATCAATTGTCTGGTGTTCACTGTCTGATCCTTATGCAGTCATGATGACAGCAGATGGTTCCATTATTTTACTTGAGTTTACATTGGAAGGTACAGAACCTAAGGTGAAGATATCCAGGCCACAGATAAACCAAGTAAGCATTCAGAACAAGAAGGCCGACATTTCCTTCACCTAATTAAATCCTGTGTTGGTAAGGTTAAATTCAAATGAGTACCTAAGCTGTTTATTTGAATTGCTTTTAATTAGGGATGCACTGTCTGTGGTGATAACATCAGTTCTGTAACTTATAGTGAAATCAGCTGTAAGTGAAAGTGACTCCATTTGACTATGACTTATACTACTCAGAAACAACCTTTAATATGCAAACATCTGTTTTTAGGGGGGGAAAGTCTGCGCCTGCTGTGCATATAGAGATGTCAGTGGTATCTTTTCCACAGAGAAGGTGGACCAGTCACTCAGAAAAGTTCAACGTCAAACCAGTACTCCCACCACTCCCAAAAGGTAGATCAACCCTTGCGAACTGAATTCCCAGTTTTCTGGGAATTCCTAGGAATTCCTAGGAATTCCTAGGAATTCTCAAAAATTCCCAATTATGCAAATGACCCTTGCAAACTGAATTCCCAGTTTTCTGGGAATTTCTGGGAATTTCTGGGAATTCCTAGGAATTCCTAGGAATTCCTAGGAATTCTCAAAAATTCCCAACTATGCAAATTAGCTCTGATTTAAAAAGCTTGGAATTACTGGGAATTTCTGGGAAAGAAAGACTCCAGTTTTGTGAGGACTTGGAATCCCTAGGAATTCCTAGGAATTCTCAGCTTCACAAACTACCTATAATTTAAGAAGTGTGGAACTCTTGGGAATTTCTGGGAATTGAATTTGAGGCAATTTTAATACCCTGAGGTCCACATAAATTCTAAGAAATTCTCAATACCTTGAATGTGAAGGTTTTAAGAAAAAGAGTAATTTCAGAGGCTTAAAACTTTGGCTCAATAAAAGGTATGCTATACAAAACTTACCAAGAGATATACATACATGTACATGTTTATAACTCAAAGATCATGAAATTTATTACTCAAACTAAGTTTTAGTAAATCTTTACATTAATATGGATTTTCTCATGAACCAGCTGTCAGTTATGTTAAATGGAAATTGCCAACTTCCACAATAATTAACAATAATTACATTGTTATCTTACTTCCCTAACCTACATTACTGGTTGCCTTTGTTAGAAAATCTTAGAACAGTCAAGCTCAGTTGCCTCCAACTCTGTCAGAGACTTTTTGTTGACAATACTTTTAGTAGAAATTTCATGCCTTAGACAAACAAATTCAACACCTAATTAATCTTTCTTTTTTCATGATTGTTGTTGCTCCTCTTTTTTCAGTGTTTTGCTCTATTTTCATGACTAATTGCTGTAATTTGTTTTGTTGTTTTTATTCTTACAAAACATTTTTGTAAGAGTTCCAATACTTGTGGATCATCCACACACTTTGCAAACATTTGGCATGCAGACAAGACAGAGGTAGTCAATGTTCCCTTTGAGGAAAAACACCTTTTATATGACATCTTCAATTTACTTTATTTGAAACTCTGATCTGAAAATATTTGTCAACAAGACTTGTTAGTAGTGAGAAATACCAACTAAGTTTCCTTTCATAACTTAATTTCTTAAATGTCCCAATCACTGATCTCCCAAAAAACATTACATCTTTTTATTTTTGGTGCAAATTACAAGTCCTTCTTTATATAAAAATGAAAAGTGCTAGTCACACTTCAATAATAACAGCTCTTAAGTTTACTTGTTGTTCTTCTCTGTCTGTCAGCTATCAACAAAATTGTTTTATACTTCGGGCAGTGCATAACTATTTGTGGACCAGAGTTCCAACGCACCTCTGTAATCGCATATAGCTACTTCTGTCTCTTGTACAAATGTTTCTCCTTTGTAAGACGCACTCTACTCTGTTGTCAATACTGCTTTAAGTTCAGTGGAAACGACTGACTGAGGAATCGAGATGGCGGTGTTGGAACGTGTTGCTGAACGCTTTCTACGGTCAAGCTTTGTAGATTTAGGTACTGGTACACTGGGATCATCTATGTATCTCTTATACTTCCGAATGTGGTATCCTTCTTTTATAAATATGAGGGTAAAAGACGATTTGTAGTCGCATTCAAAACTGTGATTGGCTTGTGTTATTTCTCACCTTTGCCATTAACACAACTCAAGTGAGTTTCGAGTCTTTGTTTCCTCGACAACTTTCGGCCACAAAACGAGCATTTGTAATACGATCGATTCTTGTCGATTATTTCTACATAGAGTGAGCTCACATCTTTATTTATATCACCAAGCTATCCATCTTCTAGAAGCAGAGAACCGGTCGGAGAAGTCAGAATGTAGTTGGGCACTTCTCCTAACACTGCAATCGGCAAGCCAGCGGATTCACTCTGCTAGCCAATGACAAGTCCTAAAAGATCCACGTGATCATGCCCGTGATCGGAAACAAAGAAGACTCCATTTGGCGCTCATCTTTGAATGTACTTTTCATCGGTTGATCGCTTTTCTCAACTGTTTTGCTTAATATAACATTTCTAAAGATAGCTTTTATTGTGGTTCAATGGGAAAACGAGAATAGCGTGAGTGTTGTAAAAGAAAAGAAAGTCGTTGGCGCCGTGGAGTTAAAAGAAGGGGCAACAGTTGACATGTTGACTGGTACAAACAAGGGTCGAATGGCCGTCTGTAAAGCTACGATTTTGAAAGTTTGTGGTGAGTAAAAATTGCGATATTCGTTACGTGATCAAAATCTTATAAAAGAATAGATGTAGCGGGTTGAATTAAGCTTACATAACGCTCGGCGCAACTGAAACTAGAATAATTCTGAGAATCGAATCGGTCACTTGCATGCCGCAGTTTCTTAAGCTTATTATGCTTTACGATGAAATAAACCTATCAGTAAGGTTTCAAGATTCCTCTAGTCACGTTTGGGAACATTCAAGATTCAAAATAGGAACTGTTATTAAACAAACCTTATAGTACATAAAGAAGCCCTCCTTGGTAAAAACAAAATAATGTATTCAGCCCTTTTTTAGCAAAATCCATGAGAGAGATGTACTAACTCCAATGTGAAAGTCACTCAATATAACAGAGATTTCTCAATTTGAGAATCCAATGAATGCCCTTTTCCTCATAGCCATCTTAAAAGCCTGGTCTGAGCTTTAAATATACATATTTTAATATATTATTTTTTTTCAAATTCAGATGTCAAGGAATCCAGATACAAAATGGTCAAGGATCTTGTTGACAACCTCATTCAAGGCCAACTCATTGTGAGCCCAGGAAAAAAAATACAAACAGTACAAACAGCAGCTAAGTTTGCAGTTTAGGATAACTTCATTCTAATTTATTGTTACGGTTAAAACAAGATTTTAATCAAAAAATCAATTTTATTTGTCTGTAATTAGCCCCTTCACTCCCAAGAGTGCTTGGTTTTCAAATATAACTTAAGATATTGTATTTTATGGAAACGAATCAACAGATTTTATTCACAATTTGTGTCAAACCAAATTTAATGATTGATTAGAACTATTTTATATGAATAGCTGTAATGAGGATTAATCCGTATGAAGTTTTCAAGAAAAGAAAAATAAATCAAATTCCATCCTAATATTACCACACATTGATGTTAATAATTAATCAAAAATATTTTACATGTAAGCCTTAAATTAAGCTTCTAAATAAATTTCATTGAATACTTGAATTTTAGCTGGGTTTTTTTAATTTAAAGTATTTATTTTATATCATTAGCCTCAAATTTTTGCTTAAAATTCCCAGTAATTCTTAAACATTCCTAAAAATTTCCAAAAATTCCCAAAAATTCCCAGAAATTCCCAGAAATTCCTAGGAATTTTTTAGATTTACAGCTTTTCAGGGAAAGTCATTGGTTCTCTGAGTTGGAATTCCTAGGAATTCCTAGGAATTCCTAGGAATTCCTAGGAATTCCAAGTCCTGTTGGCTATAAACTTGGAATTTCTGGGAATTTCTGGGAATTTCTAGGTTTTTAGAACCAGAGTTGTTATGGTTGGGAATTCCTAGGAATTCCTAGGAATTCCCAGTCCGAATTTACCGTGAAAATTCACACCTTTATTCCTAGGAATTCCTAGGAATTCCTAGGAATTCCTAGGAATAAATTCCTAGGAATTCCTAGGAAAATCCTAGGAATTCCTAGGAATTCCAAAAGCCATTTCGCAAGGGAAATTTGGTAGAGCAAAATAATTTTAAAAAAATAAGGTTACTTTTTAGTATCATGCTATACATATAATTTTACTTTTAGGTTATCATCTCATACCTATTAATGGTCTACATGGTTTATGACTGTATTGGTGTTTTTTCATCCAAAATTGTACTAGATCATTGTAGTTATATAATTATTACTATTGACAGTAAGCATTTATAGAATAACATCTCTTCTGTGCTCTCGCAATGAGCATATTTTGACATATTTTACGGAAAAGCATATCATTTTGGTAACAGAAATGTTCAATTATTCTATTTTTTTTTATTAAAATTATTTTCATACATTTTTCTTAGCATTTACTACCAGCTAGCTTTTTGAATGGTTATAGCTTGATGCACTGCCCAAAGTTTCAGTCATTTTGATTGCCATGGCATTTAGAAAAAGATTTGGGGGTTAATACTCCATTGAAAGTTGCCAGTAGTGAACAGCGTTTGGCTTTCATGTAGCAAGTTGTTGTGTTTTTGTTACTCTGCATGTGTTTGTTGTCAAATGTTAAATTGAGATAAATGTTTACATAAAATATTAGGAAGTGGTACACAAATCATCCTCTATGTTTTTTTACCTTTTTTTAGTAGCTTAAATTGTATTCATGGCAACCAATGCATGATTTAAGTTAGTCAAATTGACTCTTTTAAAAAGTGGCAGATTGAGCCCTTTGATTGCTTGTGTTTGGCAGAATCTGTTGGAAATGATTTTGGCAGGTCGCTCAGAGTATAACATGCTTTTTTTTAGCCTGTTACAGCTCTTAAGCTCTTCTCATGGAATGCTTTTCAATTCAAAGATTATTCCTTGCCTTGATTATAGTACCATGAGAGATATCCAAATTTGTGGCTGTGATGTAAGATGCAATAAAACATGTGAAATGTTCTCTTACATTGTTGCTCATTAAATCTTCAGTATGGATGTGTTAGATGAGGATGAACTGTTGTATGGAGAATCATCTTTGCCATTTACATCTGATGAAGAAGCACAAGAACAGAAGAACGTAAATGACAGGTCAGTTGCTGGCTTTGGTGTTTAAACACTTGTTTTCCATTTATTTCACCACAGGAAGGCTGGGTATTCCTTTTACTAAGGAAAATGTCGGAACTTTTTGAGTTCAAAACCATTTTTAACTAGTGGATTTATTATTTTTCTCGCAAGCTGCCATTAATGCCTAAAATTGTGTGTAAGGAATTTTTTTTGTTGGTAATACTATGTGTTTGAAATGTAGTTTTAAGATATTTAATTATGGTGAAAATGAACTAATACTTGATTGGCATTATGTTATCTTGATCTTTTTAAAAGGGATATAAGCTTAGTTAAAGCAGAAGGCTTTTTTTTAATTTTTTTTTTATTTTACATCTTAGTGCTAGTTACATTGTAAACCTCGCTCTTATGTAAGACCTTTTCCGCACTGCCAAACATTTTTCTAGCATTTTTTGTACCACATTGCCATAACTATGCTGGTTCTAATTGAATTCACAACATTTCTTTGAAACTGATCCTTACTAACCTCCCTTATCTCATTTTATGGACAATTTAGAATCTTATAGACTATAGTCAAAGGTACTCACTCAAATGGTGTCAATGATGTCACTCCTTTGAAAATATAAGCTACAGGAGAAAAAATCATCAACCATTTAATACTTGTTGTTATTCACTTATTTGTTCTGCATGTCAGTGTTTCTAGTCTATTGGTTTATGTGGAAAAGAACTTTCTTTGCTTAAATTCTTGTGTGTCTTTGTAGTGTTTTCACAGGGGAATCAAATGCTGAAACAGTGAATCCAACATGGTGGTGTGTTGTTTGTCGTGACAATGGTGTCTTGGAGATTTACACTTTACCTGATTTCAAGTTGGTTTTCTTGGTGAAGAATTTCAATATGGCTCCAAGAGTGCTCGTGGACAGTGGGTCTGCTTCTGGTGTAAGGTAATGAACTGTTTGCGCCTGTGGGTCATCTGCATTATTGAGACTTAAATAAACAAGGAGTTGTGTTTATTTGTTTATTTTTAAAGGCTGTTTGTAGCAGCCTCCTAGAGTCCCAACACTTCCTGCAGTCTCAGATTGTTCAGTTGTAGAGCTTCATGTACCATCAGGGATAATCACATTGAATCAAAGGGAAAACTGTCAGAACTCACCAGTTTGTTCTAAAATTTAACTGTGCTGATGTGAAATATCCTGAAAGTATAGAAGAATTGAGGTGATTGCAATGTTATCAAAACTTGTGCAGGTAATGTTTTTTGAAGTTTACATGAGTTTGACAAAAACTCTCATTTGGAAACTGTCTCGGTTGTTTGCTTGCAGTTTAATAGACTTTTCTCAATTATTTTGAAGAGCCAAAGTATAGTTTAAAAAGAATGATCACATTTTGTGGATACAAGATTACCTTTCAAAGTGCTATTGTTTAGTCAGGCTTTTACTCAATCAAATCATTTCTCAAGAAAATGTCATCCTATCTGCTTTGATTCATTTCCCATAACTGATCAACAAGTCCAGAAAAAAAGTTAATTAACATTATAACAATCATGTTTCAGAGAACTGAAAAACAGTAATTATTAGTAGGGTCAGAAATTCCAGTATCTTGCTGTAAGGTGTTCTGCCTCAATGCACCTCTCCAGCCTAGAGGACCCTTTTAGCTTTTGGTTTAATATTGATTATGACCTCATGGGTCAAAGAGTGGAAATTTGCATGGTTTGGTTTCACTGAGGAGCTGAATATTGGCCTGTGGTTGTTTCTAGCACACCATTTCATTCCATCAGGATTTTACATTCCCATGAAGGGTACCAGGAAGTTAACATTGTTTTGAAGACTTTGTCATCTCTAATTTCCAATCTTTTTTATTTATTTTTGAAAGTATCACAGGCAGTGTCGGTCAGGAGGATTCTTCGCCTGTCAGGGAAATTTTACTAGCAGGCTTAGGGCACAAAAACAGCAGACCTATGCTTATTGCACTTGTGGAACAGGAACTTTTGGTGTATGAAGCATTCACTTTCACTGAAGCTTCTGTAGAAAGTCACCTTAACTTAAGGTTCAAGAAGGTTGGTTTCAGTTTCTTGTGTCATAGAATATCTAATATGTGATACAACAGGAGGAGAAGGGCTCTTTTGCTAGATTTTTATAGCAGTGTATCTGACTAGTAATTAAAAGAAGTTAAAAATTTCTCAAATAGCACCAGAGACATTTTCGACCAAGATTTGTAATTGAAGGGGACAATGTTTGTTTTACATTTATTGCAACATATTTTTTGGTATTGAACTTAAAAAATTATTGAGATTCCTCTGAGAGCCTTCAGTTAGTGCTTTTAATGTGTGGATAAATTCTGATTCAAATGATATCTTAATTCAGTGAAGTATTTTGAAGATACTGTACAGGGTTCATGATGCGGCTTATGATAAAATTTATTGACTGTACATGTACTTATTTTCTCTAAAATGCAAAAGCAGCATGTACATATATTTTAAACCTCACTCTACTTATGAGCAGGATGGTATATCTATTCTTAATGGCACGTGTGAGACAGTGTAGGTTGGAATTAAACATTGACTAAAGATGAATTGCTTAAAACATTATTTTAAAATCATCTCTCTTTTTTATCAGGTCCAACACAATCTGCTCCTGCGTGACAAGAAATCAAAGCAGCAAAAAGTAAAGCAGGTTGATGGTATTCAAGGTAAATGTTTAATAATTAACCCTAATTACGGAGTATTTTGGGCACTTAGTGGATTAACTCTTACTTCCATGTTCTTTGTTGCAGGGACAAAACCAAAAGTGTCCAGTCTCCGTGTCTTCAGTGATGTCTCATCCTATTCAGGGGTAAGTAACTTCTTCATCAAACTTACACTTGATTATTCATTGGTAAAGGAGAGTAGATTACACCCCTGAACATGCCTTGATGCTCAATAACATGGGATTGATGTTGTTTGAGTGAAATAAGTTATATAGGCGACATTCAGTGGGTTAGGAAACGTCATTTAATAATTATGGATGTATGTTGTGTTTTCAGGTGTTTTTGTGTGGTTCCTACCCATACTGGCTGTTTGTTACCAGTAGAGGTGCGCTGCGAACTCATCCGATGAACATTGATGGCGCTGTCACTTGCTTTGCCCCTTTCCATAATGTCAACTGTCCCAAAGGTTTTCTTTACTTCAACAAGAAGGTACACACAAGGCTTGTCACGCAACACACTTTGTACCCTTGGTACCCTTGTCCTGTTGCTTGGTAGGAAAGTAGACATGTTGTGTAACGAGCTTAAACGACTTTTGCTAAGAAGACCAGACTAATCTATTTACATGTGTATACAGTCTTAACAGATTATAGTTCTACATGTTCAGGAAATGTAATGTTGTAGATTTGAGCTAGGAAAGAAGTTTGTACTAATACTTCGGTCTAGTTGATGATACTTCCCTTTGAGAACAATCAGGTCTCTCTGGGTCAAATAGCCAACAAGATCCTTTGGGGAAAATAAGGGAAATGAATTTAGGGGGCAACTTTCTAAAGAAACTGTGGTGCTATGTCGGTGGAAGAGTACAACAGGGTTATTTTTGTATTATCAACTTAGTTGATGGCGTAAATTACAGAGTTTGAAAGCTGACGTTTCGAGCGTTGGCAGAGCTCGAAACGTCAGCTTTCAAACTTTTTACAGTGGCCAATTTACGCCATTAACTCAGTTAATAATACCAAATTACCCTGTAAAACAAGGCAGTCACTTTTCAGAACCGTTGTGGTAAAGTGTTGTGCTAAACAGCGACCTGTTAAGTTTGCTTTTTTGAATTTGTGTTTCATTGTTTCCTTTACAGGGGGAGTTAAGAATTTCAGTTCTCCCAACCCATCTTAGTTACGATGCCCCGTGGCCTGTAAGGAAGGTTCCTCTGAGATGCACTCCTCATTTTGTGACTTACAACAGAGAAAGCAAGGTACTGCGGGTCACATTTCAAAGATATACCACCAGTGTCAGTTTGTTAGTTGTAGTGAGCTTGTTTCTTCAATTGTCAGAGTAGCTGAAAACCTCTCACATTGTGAAATCACGACTGAAAGACAATTACTACAAACTTGAGAAGTTCAGAAGTGCAAACAACGATTCCACCGATTAAATTGACATACCTGTCATAAGCCAAAAAATATAGGAGGACCACAACACGATGCAAAATTAGCCCATTTTTGAGGAATTTTGAAGTATATGTAACCAAAGGTTCTTAATTTCCGTTTTCCTCTTGATTAGCGTTGCGGAAAGTGAACGGGGGAAGGGGTGGGTAGGGAGGCTTGGCGAAAAAAACATTCTTCCTTGTGTCTTGATTGAGTCATTGCTGTTGTGTCAGACATATGCAGTTGTCACAAGCTTGTCAGAACAAACTAAGAGAGTGGTCAAACTGAACACCGAGGATCATGAAGCTGAAGATATCGATAGAGGTAAGCAAGAACTGCATCCCTCGGCAGGCCTTCAAATTTTCATTATTTCATTCGAGGTTCCCTCAATCGCACTTGAGAATGTTCCACTATGATAATATGGTTGTACTTTCAGTGCATGAATATCGAGTAAAAAATTAAATAATAGAGCCTGTCTAATTACAAAACTAAGTTGTCCAATTTCATTGTAGATTCAAGATTTGTATATCCAATTATTGACCGATTCAGCCTACAGCTTATCTCACCAGTTAGTTGGGAGATTATACCAGGCACACGGTTAGTAAGAAATGAAGATCTGTTTCCATTCTCGGTTTTTTTCTGTTTTTTGTTTCTTGTTTTTTCTTTTATAATTATTGACTTAGTAAAATGTTTCCAATTTCATATGAACTTAATCAGCAGGCCTCAAACCTAGTGTCTTCATTTACTTCATGACAAAAATTTTCACAACAACATTCGAACTGACCTTGTTTCAGAATTGAGATGGAGGACTGGGAACATGTCACCACCTGCAAGAATCTTATGCTAGCAAGTCAGGAGACTCATGCAGGTCACAAGGGTTTTATTTGTGTTGGCACAACTCATGTGTACGGTGAAGATATTACCTGCAGGGGACGGGTAGGTTTCTCTGGTAGAGTTCAATGATATATTGCAAAAACAAAAATAAAAAACGTATTGTCATATAAACGGCATCCAAGCAATTATTAGAGAATTTCCACTGAGTAATTCTTTCAAATCTCTTAAGAATATCAGAGTTTTTCTAAGAATTGTTCAGTGACTTTAAACATTATCTTTGCTTTCTAATTAACTAATTTTCTGAGGTTGAGCTTAACTTCTTGACACGAATCAACATTTTGTGGTGAGAATTTTCTCCCCGTTTATCCACTTAACTTCCTTAACGCTTTTACGGTGTGTTTTCAAAGTCTCCTTGACAAGATACATGCGTGTTACCTATGAATGAAAATTTCCGATTGATTTTATGGTAGAAGAAGGTGATTATGATGTTACGACTTGAACAAGGATCGACCTTCTTCACATTTGGTGTTACCGTTTTAAAAACAATTTTTTTTCCAAACAGATTTTAATATTTGATATCATTGAAGTTGTCCCCGAACCGGGCCAGCCACTGACCAAGAATAAGTTTAAGGTAACAGCGAGGATTTTGTTATGTCCATGTACACTGTTTAGCATTACAATTGATAGATTACAGGCAAGCATGCTGATTCTCCTTGCAATGGAAGTTCAAGATAGCTTATGAATTAAATCATAGAATAATGTTTGAGAAAAACGCAATCCTTTTTCTTGTTATGTCAAGAGTATTCGTGCATGTGAACTGAGTGTGACCTGCTTAAACCATAAATGAGTGGATGGAGAAGATGCGTGTGAGGCCCAATTATAACCATCACAATTTCTTCTATTGTGATTGGTGGATGGATGTATTGCTTTATTTTTCACAAATTGTTTGGTAGAGTTGTAATCAGACACCTTAAAGCGAACAAATGCATTAGCCAATCACACTGAGTATCCTCAAATGAATCTACCAATTACAGATTGAAATACTTTTAACAATGTCCAATAGCTGTTTCTAGACCTTTTCATTGCACTTTTTATAGCAGATTGTTACAGTTTAACGGTTAAAATATTTAATTTCAAGTCTTTCTATCGACATATAAATTTGTTTTTATTGGAAATTGTAATGGTTTTTATCAATTGGTAACAGGTCATTGTCGTCCAAATGGGTCAGTAGTCATCCTCGTGATTAACAAATCAAACTCGGGCTCCTGAGAATGTTAACTTTTCTCCGGGAAACGTCAGGGAGTTTCAAAATTCTATGGACCATGTCAATGAACTGCGCATAAACTTAAAAGTAGAATTGCAATTCATCGAGCCACGTCTTTGCCATTCGCGGATCACTGACACATGCAACAAGAAATGTGACCACAGAAGCCGTACTCATTGTGATCTCCTCCGAATTTTTCTTTTTGATTGTTTTCAGATGTTGTACGGAAAGGAACAGAAAGGTCCAGTCAGTGCTCTGACTCAAGTCAATGGTTACCTTGTAAGCGCCATAGGACAGAAGGTATGTTGGCCTTCATCTGTCTCATTCATTAAAAAAACATGGCATGTCATATTCATTTGTAATTTCATAGCTCGGAACAAAATGGGAAAAATCTCAAAATCTCTACATGTTCTGTAGCGTCTCTGTAAGTTACAGCACATAGGACTCCGTAAAGATTTCATGCTAAAATTTCTGTTTGTTTGGTCAAAATAAACAGATTTACATCTGGAATTTCAAAGATAGCAATGATTTGGTGGGAATGGCATTTATTGACACGCAAATGTACATTCATTCGTTAATGTCCATCAAGACTCTGATTATTGCAGCTGATTTATGCAAGAGCATCACTCTCCTTCGATTACAGGTAAAGTCAAAGTTTCATTTCACTAGGTATAAAATAAATGAAGGTCACCCTTAATTCTTCTTACGTGTTAGTTCTCATAGAAACTCTACGATAGAATTCCTATGTGTGCAGTTGAATGTTATTTTTGTTTGTTCGATATCAAGGAGGAAACGAAGACTCTGGCATTCGTTAGCAAGGTCAGTAGTCTTTTTTAAAAGTTATTCAATAGCCACGTTCTGTTTTCGCGTTTTTATAAACCTCAACATTGTCTCGGTTGATAAAAAAGGGAGAAAAGAACTCGGCCAATATCTAGCCATCTTGACCTCCGGCTCGGTCAACAACGCATTTAATGCCGTCTCACTTTTGCAGCCTGCGACTTGCTTAAAATTTACCTCACGACACTGAAATGGGTTCCTCACGCACGCCTCAATATTTATTACACTCGCGTGACGCGATTTCTTTGCAATAATAGAAAAAAAATGGGAAATTTGGGACGATTTTTTTCACTAAAATATCACGACGAATTGTCATACTCAACAACAAAGCATAAATTTAAGGAAGTTTCAGAGGATTCCAAAAACTTCCGAAACCAAGAAATAACATTGCTACCAACAAATTACAATTTTGAATACCTTACATTCTGCCGCAGAGAGTTCTCCTCCCACTGGTTGACCTTTAAAGTTTATTTCCTTGTTTTTCATTTCCTTTCCTTTACTTACTCGAGTTCACGAAGTATTTACTTTTTTGTTCAGGATCCAAAACCATTAGAAGTGTATTCAGCCGATTTTGTTATTGATGGTCCACAACTGGGATTTCTTGGTAATGTATCTTCTTCTTTCTCTTTCTCTCTCTTTTTTCAATTTTTTTTCGCTTGTACACTTTGAAGATTATTAGTAAGGATATGAGTCAAATTAAACTCATCAGAGGACAATTGTTTAATCACTTGCACTCAGCAATTTTTCCATTACAAGTCTCGTTCATCAAAGACTTCCATTTCAATTTGTGGCCAAGGGGGCTGATCGAAAAATACCTCGTCTTATTTAAGGGTGCATCATGGAAGGTAATGACTTGAACTAAAGGAATTGAAAGTCAACCTGAACTAATCGACGAAAGCTTTTTTTTTTTTTTTTTGCGAATTTTGACTACTTCAACCTCTAGCTGTGTATAATTTGATGAAATATTGTTTCAAATACTTGTGATCGTTAACGGAGTGTTATTTAAATTCAACGTGGTTTCATTGTATTCAGTTTTATTCAAAGATACGATGGCCTTTTCCATTTGAGTCAGTCGTGTCGTCTAAAATATGTTACGGGAAGCCATTTGAATTCAATTGACTGCCAATGACTGTTGTGTTGTTTCTCATTTTTGTGCCTTTGTCAAGCTAACGATCGCAATTTCTTTTACAGTATCAGATGGTGATCAAAACTTGCTTTTACTCACTTATCAACCAGAAGGTAAGACAATGACGCGGCCAATTTTATGCTTCCGGTTAAACTTCTCTGAAATATCACGGGCTGTGTTCTTTTATTTTTAGCTGTTGAAAGCTTCGGTGGTCAGCGACTTCTTCAGCGAGCGGATATTAACATAGGAAGCCATATTACTTCATTCTTCAGGATCCGTGCAAGAACAACAGGAAAAGTTGGCGGTAAAGACTTGAGACAGCTGACTTGCTTTGGTAAATTTACATTCTTATTTTATTGGGCTAATGTGTTGGTTCAAAGCAAGTTTTAGAGTTGATCGGATCTCAAAATCCACGACCAAGAACACTGAATTCTGGAAGAAATTTTGTCGTTTTTCTTGAAAAGATGCTCGCGCAGAAATGTCTGTTCACATGGTAAATTGCCGTGGTATTACTATATTCACCATCAGAAACGCTTTTACAAGTATTTAGTTAATAAATTAGAATTCAGTGATGATGATTGATGATTGCTGTTGTTCAGGCACACTGGATGGTGGGCTTGGACTGTTATTACCTATGACTGAGAAAACATACAGACGACTACACATGCTGCAAACCAAACTTGTCGAATGCATTCCACACGTCGCTGGTCTTAATCCAAAGGCTTTCAGGTCGGTTGATATTTTAATCTTATTGTTTTCGGTAATATACCTTGGTATTCAACAAGTTTAAGGGTTGCGATTGTGCGCTGTTCGCTGTTCGCTGAAGTCAGTTCCAGAACAGTTAGTAATTCTTGAATATTTAGCAGTCATGACTGGTGAAAGGCTTTTCTGAAGAAATAGGATTCAGTTTTATTTATAAATCATGTTTTCCAATTTATTATTAATATACTATGCTGGGAAAATATCATCGCCTGTTTTTGACAATGGCGCAGTTCAGAGGTTCAGTCCTTGCGTGTTTAATAAGTCGTTTCATTGTTCTTGTTTAGACTTGTACGAGGTAAGAAACGAAGCTTGAACAATCCTCACAGAAATATATTGGATGGAGAGTTACTCGGTAAATTTCTGCAGCTTGGCACTATGGAAAAACTTGAGGTTGCAAAGAAAATCGGCACCACGCCAGCTCAGGTATATTATACATCTTCTATAAAATCATTCAGTTGAGAGTAAAACAAAGATAACACACGCAGATACACGAGGTTTGATGACACGAGGTTTGATTGCAAACAAACAAAAAACCGTTTCAGTAAAAAAGTCTTCACTAAAAGTCAAGCCTTTACGACGTTAACAAATTAAAGGTTGGTTTGTTCAGTGTGGCCATTTTGTGATTCCGCTCACCGTATTTTCCCTGTGTTTTGCTGTGTAATACTGCCGCGTAGTTTGCGCGTTCTGTTGCCCTAATGTGGTCAAATGGTGAAATAGTGTAATGATACCATGCAGATATTCTAAATTTGTTACTGAGGCATATGTAGAAATAACTTCAACGAAAACAGTGCGCGCGGACATTATCATCCTAGCAGAATAGCTCAAGTGTCGTTCGAAGCTAGCTTTTATACTTCAAAGTGAAGCTGGCTTGAACTCGCTGACAATTTTAGTGGGAACGGAGATTATGAATCGGCTTATATATTCACTCACCTCAATACTTTTTCTCAGTGAAATTTTATCGTTGTACTCTTGATGGGTTACTTTTGAAATTAGTACGGGATAATTATCAGTACCTACGAAATAAATGGTCAATTGACACGTCTACACACTGAAATCGCACATGAGCAAATGATATGATGGTTTGTAACACCGCAACGTTTGCTCTTTTCGCTTAGTATATACATCACTTCAGATTAAGTAAAAACAGAACACTACCTACTTCTGTAACTTCCAGATTCTTGACGACTTGATGGATGTTGAAAGATCGTGTTCACATTTCTGAGGGCAACGCCTGAGAGGTGCTGAAATACAAGTGAAAGATCATGATCGCATCAAGGATGTAACTTTTCCTTTACGGACAATTGTACCGGGATGACAATTAGTTACTATACTTTCTTTTTTCGTTAAAATCTCCAAGAAGTTAGAGAACTTTACTAATCAGAGGTTACAAAATTTATAAAACATTGTCATGTAGATTCCCAATCTCTTACACTTCTCTTACGCGTCCTCAGCGTGATAAATGTCGAAATACATGTAATTTTTTGTGAGTTGTCGGACCCGCCACCTAAATAGAATGGTCTACTACTTTTATTGCTGATGTGAATCATAATTTAAGAAACCACCCATTGTCTCTTGGCTTGATTATGAGTTATTTGTTTCAAGTGGTCCTGTTAGTAGCACTTCCTAGAAAGTTGTTGATATTGTTTCTCTCCTGTTTTTATTGTGTACAAAGAATTCAAATTCTGTGGTCTACACTTGTATTTTGTTTAATCGAGATTGACCGCGTAAAAAGTATTCCCGTCAACTACGTAATTGTCATTAGCTTGATCGTGACGTTGAATGACTCACTAGTAGCGAGCTAAACAACAATGGTCATGCCTCATTGTTATGAAATCGCTCTAAAAATCTAGTAGGACTACGAATAGAACCCGACACATGTTTTGGGGAAGAAATCGCTAACTAAATAGAAAGCACGAGCAAGAGTATCATCGATGTACTGTTTTGTTTACAAATGAACTCTCATGGCCGATGAGTCCGATGACATAAATGAACAAAACAGTCTCCGAAGAAGGAAAGGATACTGCCCTTAATTTGACTCCAAATTTGTGAACACCAGAGCTTTGTTCCATGATTTTCTTTGGTTGATGCAGGTTATTAACGGTCGGTGGGTGTAATCTGTGGAATTTTCTTCCTAAAACCGGAGCGCGATAATCGATCATATTTTTGCGTTGTGAGCGCAACGCAGAAGTCAAACTCTTGGGCTTAGTCTGTCGTTCCTACTTTTCGAGCGCCTCACTCCAAAAGCTCCAGACGGCGCGCTAATATCAATTTTGTTTTCCACGCTAAATTTTTGTACTCGCGCGACTTAATTCGACGTCAAGGAGGGAATACCCTTAGTCTAAATCTGTAGTCTATAAGCGTAATAACAACGGGAATAATGATAATCACAAATCTCCAACTCGACAAAGGATGTGACAGCGTAGTTCTTGTCACTGACACCCACCACGATCGTGATGAGATGAGAACTTTAATCGAAACGGAGCCGTATTTTTACGACACAGTCGAGAATTACTTGGTTTGCCTTAGTTTTCCTTCCTTTGCTTTGGGATTAGTTTGGAAAACTTACATTACCCTCGTAAATAATCAGACGCAAAACCTCAACCAATCATGACTTGAATCAGCCAAGGGTTATCATTTCCTTCCCAAAGAATTACCACCCTAATGAAATGTCCACCCCTAGCAACTCAGAATTTAGCAGTCTTCAACCTTCAAAATAAGCTACATTGGTGTAATGAGTTTCTCTTCATGGCCTCAGCAGCAACTTGAATAGAAAAGAACAAAAGGAAGGGGTGAACATAAGCACGGGAGGGAGGGGTGGGAAGAAACGAGGTCCCGTATTTTGCCACATATGCAGATATCTGTATCCGTCTCAATTTCGTATGTAGATAAATAGACAATGGAATGCATAAAGAATCCAATGTCTTTTTAAGTTGAAAGTTTCCAAAAAACCAATCAAGTTATATCATATACCAAAGTCGTATTAGCTGTGCATTCAAGTTTGAAAACTGGTCAGCATTCGAAGGAAAACATAAAAATACCAAAACTATCACGGAGGCCAAAGGTAATTTAGTGAAAAAAGGCTAAAAAAAAACATCACGCATTCGTCGATTAACATTTCATTTAACTTAAATGAGATACTCAGACCGAGACGTAATAAATTAGATATGCAATTTTCAGATTTTTTCAATTTTCATGTCAACAATTATTAACCTCCATTTGATAGTGTGGTTGGCCTGTAGTATCCACACTATCTTAATCCATTTACAAAGAAAAAAACTACAGCGAAAATTGTTGATCTTACTCGAAAATCGTTTTTTTTTTTGGACGTCGAAACAACCTTTCGCCATATATTTCCTTCGAACAACTTGCAATGTTGGCCCCATGGCAATCCCACAAATCTTTGCGCAATCACAAGCTAGGATCCGATTAACGATCCGTAATGATTTGATTTAGCGTACAAGGCTATTCGAAACAGAGCGCTTGCCGTATTTATTCGATTAAATGCCGCGGCGTTTATTAAATTTTTCGTGACTCGAGTGTGGCGTTTATTCGAGGACGGCGTTCATACGAGGGCGGTGTTTATTTAAAATCCAATTTATTTCTTCCAAACTATAGTATGGTAACTGACCGTCTTAATTAAAAAAAAGAAAAGAAACATGTTTTAGTGCTTGTCTGAAAAATCTGCGGCATTTATTCGAGGGCGGCGTTTATTAATGTTTCTGCTCTAAAGTGCGGCGTTTCTGCGTTAAATCGAAAAAATACGGTATTTCTTTCTTTGAGAAACAGCAGAATGTGATCAAAGCTATGATTTTTATTTGACTGAGGATCAAAGAGACTGGTGAATGGACTTGTTGTTTCTGGATCCTTCTGTTATGAAGTATTTAGTTAGTCTATAGTTGTCAGTTCAAGATGATTTAATCTTTCGTTTATAATTAGAATGTACCTTAAGGCCTATTTCCAGCCTTAATGCAACGCAGCCGTTTGTTTTTGTTTTGAACCACCGCTTTTGTATGATTTCGAATTCCGAAGTTATTTAGGTTTGAGCTGTTGTGATGGGTTTTCGAGTTATGAAAGCCTTGTCTAACTTCCTTAAGTGGACGTGTTTAATTTATCTACTGACCTTGCTTTGGACCCACATGAAAGTTTTTGTTTTGGCTAACGCAGTCAGAGGTTGTTTCAGTTGATCGGAAGCATTATGATTAAGTGCTTTGTTGTTCATTTCGAAAGTCTCTTGAAATTGTTTAGTTTTGTGAAAACATTGTTTAGCCATCTAAACCGCAAAGATTGAAGCAAACTGCCCTCCATTCGTATACTTTTTAGTTATCACACTTAATGGGAATCGAACGTTGATTGTCTAAATCCCGAGGTGGAACAGAAATTTCATAACGTCATTAGTTATCTCTGCTATTGTCACTATCTTTGTCGTAATGCTCTCTTATCCTCCAGCTAAGCATCAATCTGGCGCCAAATAAACAGTTAATTGCAGTTTCCCTCTTAACCCCTTGAACAACTAATGACGTCCAGCCAAAGGGATTTGGCGCCGCGTGCTCTTAACATGCTGCGGAAATTTTTGGCAACTCGAAGAGCTACAACTAAATGAGGCGGCAAAAATAATTTTATATAGTTTGAAATCTTATCGCTACCAATCTAAGCAAGTGATAGTTAATGCGCACCATTTTTGGGGATTTATTTCTGGGCGGTTTTTGACGATTCAAAGTTTAGCTTGACGCGGAAATTCTTGCCTCGTCATTATATTATCCAACCTTACAGAGTCTATGAACTAAGTGTTTCTTTCATCATGTCTCCCACTGGCCTTAAAAAAAGAAGTCTTTGACCTGCATCACAATAATTTCAACACTGACTGAAAGGAGTTTTGTGAAATCGCAGATTATGGAAAGCAAAGGTAACACAAACTCCATATGGAAGGTGATTAATCGATGTTTGCCGAAAAAATCTTCCAGCCTACCACAGTTCAATGATAGTCATAAGAATGTGGCCAACAGTTTTAATAAGTATTTCACATCAGTTGGATGATTAACAGCTCTTAAAGCTAACCAGTTGGCCAAAGACCAAAATTGGGCTTTGGATCCAAACGTCTTTGCAACCCTCTAACGTTCCTGTACAGTGTGAGCAGTTTGAATTCCAGCCTGTAACAGAGAAGGATGTGGCGAATGTTATCCTAAAGCATGGTTCAAACTGCTGTTGATGGACATGTCAAAAGCCTTTGACAGTATAAACCGTGACATGTTGTCTCGCAGTGGTGTGTCACCTAGTTGATTATGGCGTTCCACAGGGGTCCATTCTTGGCCCCTTCCTGTTCCCTGTTTACGTAAATGATTTGTTAACTGTGCCTAAACTCTGTCAAACTGCTTGTTATGTTGATGACTCAACTTTACTTGAAATTTAAAACTAATGAGTTATGTGACGCAGTCTCCGCAGTTAACTCCGATTTAAGAGAAATTTGTCGGTGGTGCTGTCACAATTCACTGCTTATGAATCCAGATAAAACCAAACTTCTTGTGGTAGGCGTGCTGTAATTGCTACAACGATTACTTGACTTTACAAAAGCACTTTGTGGTAAACCAATATTACCAACACCTGTAGCAAAGGATCTTGGAGTGTTTCTAGATCAGTACCTCTCCTATAATGAACACATATGTACAACGGTTGCTAGTTGTATGAACAAACTGATCCAGATCAATAGAATTAAGCATTTATTTGATAAGGAAACGCTTTCGTTGATTATTAATAGTTTTGTTTTCAGCAGGCTTTTTTATTGCTCCTCAGTTTGGAGCAACACTTCGGCGATAAACATCCATAAGCTCCAGCTTGTTCAAAATTTTGCAGCCAGGATTATCTTAGGGCTTCGCAAATATGACTATATCTCTGCAGGTCTGAGATCACTTCGATGGCTAAATGTCAAACAAAGACTTATGGTCAATGATGCAGTTATGATGCATAAATGTCTTCAAGGACTGTCAACTAGCTACTTCTCGGACAAATTTTCAACTCGAGCTACTGTTCACAACAGGCAGACAAGATATAGAAACAGCCTCAATATTCCACATTGTAGAATCACTGCTGGTCAACGCGCCTTTTATTATCGTGGCGTGAAAATATGGAATAGCTTAAGCAAAGACCTAAAGGAAATAACAAATACTAAAGCTTTTAAGAGACGTTTAATCAAAGACCTGACTTGTGACATGAACGCGTAGCGAAAAGTGAAAACATCGACGTCGTCCGGAAAGAATGTTACGAGAAATACGAGGAGCAGTACAACAAATTCGGTTTTCCTGTCTACGGCTTCGTGATCCTGAATTTCGTACTTATTATATTTGTGTGTGTTATCTACTCCCAAATATTAAGACCAACAGTCAATCGACTATCTCGAAGCATTCGTAACGGTGATTCAGAGAGACAAGAGAACGCATTATCAACGGGATACAAGCTTTTTATCGCTTACTGCTGTCAACTATCGATAAGACTTGTTTTAGGAATTATTTTCATCATCCTACAAACTCAGTTGCTTTATCCTTTGAAGTTTTCCTCTAAGTTTAACTGTTATTTAACCGATGGAACCACTCAGCCAAGGAATTCATCTGACAACGCCCAAAACTCTACTTTACACGACTGTCACAATCGACAAGCGGCAAAGAAAACCTCCTGGATGGACGCTGTGCTTGTAGTGAATGGGATTTTTGTCACCGTCAATCTGATTGAAATCGTCTACATTTCTTTTCGGGCATGCAGAAAAAGGGGTTTCATGCAGAAGTTTCAAACATCTCATCTAAATCCTCCCGAAGAATCTGTGCAGCAAGAAAGAACACGACTTTTCAACATTCCGCATGGAATTCAGCAGCAAGAAAGAACAGAACCTGAAACAAACATCCCACAAGAACTTCACCCGGTAGAGGAAAGTAAAGACCATGAGACAAACATCCCACATCTGCCAAGCGGGCCTGAACAACTCTTAAAACCACTTCAAGAATTTATCCTGAATACAAAGAAAATGATTATAGACGACACTTATCAACTTCCACAACTCCAGTCGCTTTGTTCAAGTCCTCCTGGCAAAGGACACCCACCTAAACATTTGACTCTGGATCAGATTTACACAAACCTTGTTGTTGTACCTGGCATGGCTGATAATGACTTTACTGAAGACAGACGGAAGAATTTGGAAATTTACACCAGGTCGGTTGAGAAAAACGAAAGACCGAGAAAGCTAGAGGACATTCTTAATCACGAAAACAAAAACGTTTTGATTGTCGGTCGTCCCGGAATCGGAAAGACACTTTGGTGTACAAAAATTCTCAGAGACTGGGCATCTAGCAGAGTATTCCATAAAACACCCGATAACAAAATCCACTTTGATGCTGCTTTCTTCGTCGAATATGGAACATTAAACACATCAACCGACCTTAGCCTCAAGGAGCTACTGGTTCGCTCCACTTACTCTTTCAGCAATCAGCTGGATGAGGAAGTCTGGAATTACATCCTTGAAAACCCCCAGAGAGTTCTACTTATTTTCGATGGAATCAAATTTAACTCAAAGGTCAGCACGGAAGATAATGAACCTCAATTCAGAAACAGCGTAGACGAGAAGATGCCGCTCTCCGCCCTTTATGCCAAGCTTGCGACTGGGAAACTTCTTAACGGAGCTGCTGTTATGACTACTACCAGATCTACAGCTCTGTCATGCATCGAAAGTATTCCTTTTGACAAAGTCTACGAGGTCCATGGCTTCTCATGCGAACAAGTCGAAGAATACGTAACCAAATTTGCTGGAGAAGACAAGGAAGCAGGCGAAACACTAAAGCAACACATCACCAGCAACATCAATATCTTATCTCTATGCTACATTCCTGCGTATTGCTTCATCATTTGCTCAAGTCTCTTTCGAATGGTGAAGAACTATGGTTCTAAAAGTCTTAGCCTACCAACAAGATTAGCAGACATATACAAGAAAGCCGTGGAAATGTTCTACTTGAGACACAACGAAGAATTTCGCAATAAACATTTCACTCGCAAAGACTTTGAATCAGATTATTTGCCCCCTGAAGAGGAAAAGAAACTCCAGAAACTGGAAAAAATGGCATTCGAGGGAATTACGGAAGGAAGGCTAATCTATGCAGGAAACGAAGTACGCGGAATGGAAGACGGCGCTCTATTTCACCGCTTACCCGACAGTGAACTTGACCTACTTAATGGAGAAGGACAGTTCTGTTTCATTCATCTTACAGTGCAGGAGTTTTTCGCTGCAAGGCACCTAACAAACATGAGTGAAACAGAGTTAAGAAACTTTGTCTCCGAGAACTTCAAAAAAGGCAAATGGCAGCTGGTTTTTCAGTTTCTTGCAGGACTGATGGAGGATACACATCACCTACCAAGCGAAGTTATCCCTGACCTTCTTCCTGTGCAAACTGAAGAGAAAGAAAGCGAATACTACAACGAACAGTGGACAGAGAATGACGAGCCAAGGAAAGTGACCAGCTGGCCGCCTAGAGACGAACGAGATTTTACGTTGACATTAATTACAAGTATAAACGAAAATAATCCCATGAAGTTTGTAACACAGGGAAAACTTCAACAAATTAAATTTGATTTTGTAAATTTTAATTTTTGTCACCTCACGGCTGTTGATTGCTCTTCTTTGGTAAATGTGATTGGGAATGTTCAACACATTTCACATTTAGATTTGAGTTTCAATAACATTGGTCCATTAGGTTGTTTAGAGATTTGTAAATTGTTAAAATGTAGAGAATTTCAACTAAGCTGGTTAAACCTCGAAGAGAATCAAATGACAGATGAAGGAGTAGAATATTTAGCTGAAGCCATCAATAACAACAACTGTCAGCTACGCACGTTATACCTCAGAGCAAATAAAATCTCAGACAACGGAGCTCAACACTTGGCTGAGGCCATCAACAACAACAACTGTCAGTTGCGCGCGTTAACCCTCTCAGCAAATAAAATCTCAGACATTGGAGTACAGCACTTGGCTGAAGCCATCAACAACAACAACTGTCAGCTACGCATGTTAAACCTCTTATACAATAGTAATATCACAGAAGCAGGCAAGCAACACGCACGTAGTTTACAAAGCAATAGTCAGTCTAAGTGTAAGCTTATTCTTTAGGCCTCCTCAAATTCCAATTAATAACTGAAAAGAAATTATTTGAACCACTCAAAAAAAACTGTGAGGTGACTAGCTCAGTGACACAAATCAAAACGTGAATGAGAGCCAACTAAATCTGTGAAGCGCTTAGAGCAAAGAGATTATTTGAACCGGATCAAAATGAAAGAAAATGAACCAATAAAGATGTATATTGGGAACAAACGATGTCGAATTTTTTTTTTTTAGAAACGAATCAATAACATTGAAGTGAAAACACAAAGCTTCCTGCAAAGAAAACAAACAAGCCTTGGACCTCTAAGGAAACCTTGTCATTTTATGATTGGTTAGTTTCGATCTAAATTCTCTCCATGCTTCTGTATGTTTTGATCCCTTGAAGTTTTGTGGGAGATTTTAAGCGCATCAGATGAGAGTATTCACTACAGATTGCTTACCATGTTTTTTTAATTGCTCGTGTTTTCTGTATTTTTTCCAATTGTAGCGAACCGGTTCAAGTAGTTTCACACTTCTGGCAAAATTTCGAAAAAAGAATTGAAACCAGGTTGAAATTCAAATCGTCGCGCCTTCAAAGAATGAAGGCAATTTTGTAGGTTATTGTCGTAAGATTTGTATCACATTCGTATAATTTGTTTCAGGGAGGTTTCTGCATTTGTTTTAAATATTAATGTAATTTTTGTACCTATTTATGGGCTGTTACACCGGAGTTGCAGTTCAAAATCTAAAGATAAAGTATCAGACTTGAACAGTTGAGATTTTTATTTAACTTATCAGTTACTGTTAACCTCCCAAATTTGTCATTGAAGAATAAATCTTGTAGACCGATTTCAACTATGTGATGCGATATATTCAGCCCCAATTGTTATACACAACTTGGAAGCTATGGGGGAGGGGTGTGACATTTTCAATATCAATCAAAATCTATCAATTTACCGGAGAGACTTCTTCAAGGTCAGGGTATGAAGCACCCCACAAAAAACCCTTAACCTATCTCAAACTAAACGATGTTCTCCTCCTTCTTTTCCCATTCAAGAAAAATTCAACACCATGCCTTGAAGCAACATCGAAATATTTAAGGAAGTGTAGAATGTAAGCGACATGAAATCAATGTAAAATATTTCCTTGAGTAGGTTCCTGGCCACTTTAAGGAAATCTATTGAGCAAGATTTATGAAACCAGTGGACCTCAGCACACACAAAAATTAAATAACAGAAAATAAATCAGAGAAAAAAAAATCCCACATGTAAAAAGAATGGGAAGAGGAGACAAGGAAACCTTACAAAGATTTCCACTTGTTGCACCTAAGAAAAAACATAACACTTCCCAGTTTTCATGATTTTTGTAAGACTTCAGAATCAGAATGTAACTTTCCACATTTTTAAAAGTATGCCTTTGATCTCTACAAACCTTTTTGAAAAAGCAGGTTATTAGAACTGTGTTCAAACGGTATCCAGTCAAGTCGCCGATGGTTCAACTCGCCAACGCCAAATCGCCGACGTATAAAATCGAGTAGAGACGTCGGCGAGTTGGTCTTTAATCCAGTACAACTTATTAGAAGTTAAACATATAGAAAAGTGAAAGATATTTAGTAAATAAACAATTTTGTTTTCTTCCAACAAAGTTTACAAGGATCCCATGGCGAATAAAGCAAAGTAAACATCGCCAATGACTATGGAAGCTTCAGACGCGAGCTCATCGTGTCAATCGGTCAGATTAAAAAAAAACTTGGCTTTCTAGACAAGAACTTTAGTAGAAAAATGAGATGTTCGGAGTGAAAATGTCATGAATAGAGACACCTATGCAGAGCAGGGCTTCTCCCAGTTTCCACCCGATTCCACTGAAAATCTTATTCAAACCTGTTTGGGAAAAATCTCTATTTGTTTAAAAATGCCGTCATTGTGAAACGCAGACTGCCAACCGCAGACCAGGGATGAAACGCAGACTAAGGATAAAATGCAGACTGAAGACTGCAAACGAGGGGTAAAATGCAGACTCGGTTCTAAAATAACCCGCTTCCCCAGAAAAACTTCAAAAGTGGGCTGGACTAAAGGCTGCATAGGTCATGAGAGGCTGACAATGATCGTCACGGTGATTGACGTTTCAAACCTTACTTCTTCAGATGGTTTTGGCATCGACATATTGTTTTAAAGTGAGAACGAGAAACGGAAGTGTTTGAACGTGTAGTTCACAGCCAGCTAAATACATTTCTCCTGTTAAGGAGTAAACAATTCTGTTGAGCAACATTAAGTAGCTTTAACATAAATGTAGCTCATGTATACTTCGTTTGACCTTGAAAATAGTAGTAGTAGTAGTAGTAGTAGAAGAAGTAGTTTTATCACACAGTGGCAATTGCGATTACCTGTTTCTAGGAGCTTTGTTTTGCACTGCAAAGTTAGGTGTGCAAATTCTTTGAATTTAATGCAAATTTGAGGGTGTGAGATAAGGGTCTGATTAAATACCTCCAAACAACATCCCCAAATGTTTGCCTTTCTTATTCCACTTGGTGTTTCACTTCATTATGAACCCGTAGGAAATCTGCAGCTATCATGGTCAACTTATCCTATGTTAGGCTTTTTGTGGGGTGACAAGGGATGCCTAGGAAATTTAGTTTTGCTGTGTTTTTATTCATTGGAAAAATGTTGGAGTCTTTCTTAACAAATTAAGAGCGAGTAGAAGTCTCAAGTTCCTTTTAAGTTTAATCATTTAGAGAAACCAGAAATGTTCATAAATTTCAACTAAAGAACAGAGTCTGCATTTTACCCCTGGTCTACAGTCCACAGCCGTAGTCTGCAGTCTGCATTTTACACTGACCCCTTCACATGTGAGCTAAACGAGGATGAAAAGTAACTGAATAGATACAGTGAACCCTATGTAAAGTTAACACTCTTATGACCTTGCCAAAGTTAATTTTTGACAGAGTCTCAAAAAGGATCTGGCTAATTGCTTAATTATAAAACAGACTTGACTTTTTGGTGTATTACAGCATCAAGTTTCTTTCTTCTTGTATATGCAAGCTTGTGATATGTGCCAGTAACATTGATAACCCTCTGATAACATATTGACATGAGTACGTTGTAAAATGGGTGAAATTATAAGGATTTGCACAGGAATGAATGGTCACATCCTTGACCTAAAATCTGAAGTGGCTTTGAAAATAATAATCTATCTACAGAGGCTTAACTTGCAACCTGTGGTAGTAACTGACCCCTAAAGTGAAATTTGATTGCAATTATGTTTGACAATTGCCACGCCTTTTTGTACAAAAAAGCAAGTATTACATTGAAATTTCATATTTTTATTAACAAATGTTGCCATTGGTGTCGGCATGTAATCACCCATTAAAGTAGGATATAGGATCCTTGGAATGCCTAACCTGTACAAAGCTAACACTCCCCCTGATGCTTTGAACTGTTACTATGACGACTTGAAATTCCTGTAGATGCTATGGATCAAAGTACCACTGGTCATCACTGAGAGAATCTAACAGCTGTACATGCTTGGGTTAAAGTGGTTAAATATAAATTAGATTTCACTGGTGTAAATCAGTATCTCCTAGGAGTACTTTACATGTTTATCAGCCAAGGAATGATAGAACACAAACTCTAATCAACATATCAACTTAATTCATTAATTTACAACTGTACATATCTTTTTTTTTTTTTTTCAAAAAAGTCAACACATTTAAATACAATCAATTTTCTTAGGAAAATACAAAAAAAGCAGAGTGTTAACATAGGAGGTAAGCAGTTTCTTGGTTGTTTTTTCTTATAATAATGAGAATAAAGATAATTATCCCCAAGCTAAGAAGCTTTGATTTTAAAACAAATTTTCCCTGTCAGTACCAAAGGAAAAGTAGAGAAAAGAGTATGGAAAATATGGATACAAATGTTAGGATGTAAAGGGTTAACTCTTCTCTGAATGCACATGAACATCTGTTATTCTATCAATAGACTCAAGCTGTTGTGATATGAACTTCAGTGTGTCCACTCCAGTAAGCAGTTGCCTAAAAGCAAACAAATGAACAGTGATAAATGATTCACTGAAATATAAGTTACACACTCCTCTACCCTACAAGGGCTCAGATGTCCGTGAGAGATACAAGGTACAGAGGGACTGTTCTTCATGTCCTTAGCACAACATTTATGGTTTTAAAATATGCTTGCAGAGTTAAATATTGCAATTGTTTGTACCAAAAATGTAAAAGAACAATAAATTATTTAGCAAAATTCCATGTCAGGATGCATTTTTAACAATGATAATTCTTTTTTAAATATGAGCACATCGTGATTATCTAAAATGAACAACCCGATGTAAACAGAATATGTTCAACTTGAAGTATTCAAATTCTTGCAAATCACTTTACAAAACTGAATACAACTAGATGAATGCCAACATAAACAATTTGACAGGGAAAATTATTATCATTGACTCACAAAAATAATCAGTTGTCACTGAAAAAGTTGCTGTTAATAAAAATTTATGACAAAAAGACAAATCACTAAGATCTGTTCAAAAACAAAGTACCTTGAAATCAAATTTGACACTGCAATTAGGCAAGCTTGATTACAATAAATAACCATGCACACACCTTACTGCTTGCTCTGCATTTTTTGCTGCTATGTTCATCTGATCAGCAGCAGCTTTTGATTTATCTTTGACAGCTGTCATTGTATAATGATTGGCATCTAACAGCTGGTTATATGTTGCTATGGGAACAGACTCTGTCTGATGAAAGATAGCAGAAATTATGGTAAACTATGTGTAGAGGTAAATCAAAGATAATCTAACTTTCAAAGATTTTGTTCCATGTCTGATCAAAGACCAAAACATTGGCCCCATCTGACTTATTGTTAAGAACATTCTGAACTGAAATTATTTTACATATCCAAATTAATTAACTTGCTGTTTTAGGTAACTGCAATGCAAGTTAGCTCATGGAAGATCGCAAATGTTAAAAATGACATAAAAAAATGATTCCTAGTCAATAATGGAAAGGCAAATTCCTTTATTTCAAGTACAATTTGGAACAAACAAGCTCATGTAAGTTTTTAAAAGTTTTTCTGTAGTTGAGGCTTAAATAGTTTTAAATAAAGATAGAAAACAGATTTTCCTTTTTCCCTACTATTTAACAAAGTGGCAGAAGAGAGGGGAGGGGGGGCACTTATTCCCAGGG